ACTTGAGAAAAATCCTTATAGCCTGAGAGATGAAAGAAAATAAATTGTGCTGCATTTGCTCTTCTTCGATCTTTTTTGATATTTTTGTAGTTATAAATGAGGTACAGTGAATGTTCCTGTGCCAAATGGCCAAGAAAATGACAACAGAGAGTTAGTGACCGTTTTTATCAAAATTAGAGATCAAAATAAAACCAAACTAAATTTAAAGTCGGGCCAGTCAAAATTCTTTTTATCCTTTGAATTCCATATGTCATTGTTCAAAAGGGATATTTTTGAGATGACCATCAATGATGTATCAGATGCCAGTGGCCCCAGAAACCTACTGCCCTGATCCACACACTGTAACCCAATCACCCATGACTTCCCCTGTTCATGGTGAGAAGATGAATTTGGGACCATATAGAAGTCTGGTGTTCTCAAGTACGCTACTTGGTCTATAGCCCCGGTTAAATTCCAAGATCCACTGAGGGAGACTTCAAGCCTGCAAAATTGTCCTCAGATCAAACTCATGTCCAATTAGTCATGCCATGTGCCTGAATTCTTTGTGTTGTTTATTTTTTAACCAGTTCTCAGGGCTAGGCTTTGGCTAGATCAAGAGGAAGCTGGCTCAGTTTTAAGTTTCAGCCAGCTGCTGAAAGACCTCCTACTGTGCTGCCAGTTCCTGGGAAGATCAGGGTGGGTGTGGCCTTGCTGCTCAGTGGTACTTTGGAGAATCACTCCCTGCATGCTTTGCTGCTGACTTTTGCTCTACTGGAACTCACATACTGTGGAAGTTTCCTCCCTAGCATCGTATTTTACAATCCTGTGGCCCCATAAACCTGGCATGGTGATCGAAAACAAGACCACAGAAACCTCTACTCCATAACCCTTCTGAGTCCTTGAGAAAGTCATGGAAGCCCATTTATATTAGATGCAGAATGCAATACTCCTGGGCACAGTGTGGTTTCCTCTCCTGGCTTCTGTTGAAGGCATTAAGTCATTGTCATCACGTGGGGGTTATCACCTTCCATGGGCAGGCATTTGTGAGTTTTGCCTGACTCTGAGATGGATTGATAGTGATCCCAAGACTCTATGATATGTGTGTTTACTTTGTCATCTTTCACCTCTCTGCATCAGGTGACAGAGAGCAATAGATTCCCTCCTCTATGCTTTTTATTACATTTTGATATGCATACCACAAACCATAGGATAAATCATACATTGGTCCCCTTTCTCCATCTCTTTGTCTCTACATCTCTCCCACCCGAGTCTGTGGTGTGTGTGTGTGTGTGTGTGTGTGTGTGTGTGGTGTTTGGTCTGTGTGTGGTGTGTGTGTGGTATATGGTGGGGCATGTGGTGTGTGTATACAATGTGTGTGTGTGGTGTGGTATGTGCATGTGTGTATGGTGTATATGTGGTATGTGTGTGGTATATGGTGGGGCATGTGGTATGTGTGTACGGTGTGTGTATGGTGTGGTGTCTGCATGTGTGTGTGTATGTGTATGGTGTGTGCGTGGTGTATGGTGGGGCATATGGTAGGTGTGTGTGTATGGTGTGTCTGTGGTGTGTATGTGTGATGTGTATGTGTGGTGTGTATGTGTGATGTGTATGTGTGGTGTGTGGTGTATGAAATTTCTTCAAAGTGAGGTGAAGTCAGAGAACAGAATCAGAATGCCTGCCTTTGATCTTTGCCCTGAATTCCTTTATAGACCATGTTTGTCTTTTAAATAATCTGGTTTACTTCAACTATTCCTTCAGGTTGAGTATTTTCTATGAAAGTTCTTGCATCCTTATTAAAAACCATAAGTCTCATACGTACTGAGATAGTCCCTGTAGCAGTTGCCTAACTTTCCAGTTCTACACCACACTTCCACTACAGAAATGGAAAGCCGAGCATATTAGACCCAACATTGTAATCTCAATACTTAGCCTTTATGGTTGATTTTATTCATCGTGCTATTGTTTGAGTTAAACTTCTTTGTACTGAATGGAAAACATATGTTCATAGACAAAGGAGGAAAAATCAGTGGGCAGAATATCCCAGATTATACTTTTTTATTCAGTCATGCCACAGCTGCTTGCTGAGTTTGACCCTGTGTTAGGGGCAAAGCAAGAAGAAGACATCATCAGGCTTGGACCCTATCCTCTAACAATGTACTCTCTAGTCAAAGTTGGGGTTGGGTGGAAGGAGTAGGAGTTTGGATATCATAAGACCATATGTACAAGCTTAAAATAAAGAGATGTACAAGAAGGCTGTAAACAGGGTGTGACGGGTGAGCAGACACAAGGGCACCCCACTCCAGGCTCCATCCTCATCAGATACAAAGGAATAGGTGGGATCTGGAGGTGTGAGCATGAAAGTAAGAGTTGCTGGTTCCCTGGATAGAATATGAGCTGGGCCATTCTGATGGAAACGTGGGCATTGATTCTGGGAAGAGAAAGCTGCATTTACTACAACAGGAAGTTCAAGAAGGGGACACATTTGACATGAAACCATAGCTGATCCAGATAAAGGACTGTGAATTCCTTAGAGAGCAGCGTGTGCTTCATATGGTAGATAATTTAGATCGCTAAGCATGGACACAGTATCATCAGATTTTGACAATAGAATTCACACAAACATGAAAGGAGAAAGGAGAAAGAGGAGAGCTATCAGTTGGGAAGTCAATATAGATGCTCTCCTAGTCAGGAAATGAACTTCTGCACACAGGACACAGCTAAGAGAGTGTTCGAGGCCTAGGACCTCAGTGCAGGAAGGATGGGCAGCACTCTTCATAGCTCAGCTGTTTTTGTGAGCATCTAGAATCTTCTTGGTGACAGTTTGGGGTTTTAGTGCAGTATGAAAGGTGTACCCACAGTTGCTCAGGAGTTAGGCTTTCTGCATTATTAAGCTGTGCGTGCTTACCCACAGCTTCAAGCCCAACACTGTCCCTCATCAGTATGTGTGTGGCCTTTATCACAACATAGTCATCAGACATTCCATGGAGCCAACACCACAGGACAGAGAGGATGGGAGGAGGAGGGGACAGCATGGAAACAGAGCTGAGGACATAGATGGCTTCTGGAGAGACTTGTATCCAAGTGTGGACAAAGCTCCGCAACACTGTACAGTCTCCTTGCCAGTGGAGCAGCTAATTTGATCAGCAGAATCTGGCTACTGATGGACACTATGAAGAGCCTTGATTTAGAAACTGTAAGACCTGGATTTTAGACTCAGTTCATTGATTTCCTAATGAAGTGCTTCTGAGGCAGTCTCTTTCCATCTCAGTCACCTACAGCTGGGCTGTACAAGTGATACAGAAAACAAACCAAACAGAGCACTGTCATGTAAAATAGCCAAGGAAGGCTTTTTGGGAAGAAGTGGTAAGTGACTGAAATGTGCAGGAGGAATGGCTCTGAGCCTGAGCAATGTTGAGAGTTCAAAACAGAAGGGAGGGCAAATACTCTCCCTTACATACCCTTCCTTGAACCATGTTTCTTTTCTGTTGCTGTGGTAAAAACACCATGGCTGCAGCGATGTAGAAGAAAGAGTTCATTTGGGTTTAAGACAGCAGAGGGAGTAGTTCATCATGGCAGGGAAGTGTGGTGGCAGGCAGCAGGCATGGCAGCTAGACTTGAATGCTAAGAGCTCCCAGCTTGGATCCCACACAGGAAGCACCACAGGGAGCATTAGGCTTAGTGTATCCAGGAAGGCAGAAGGCTCACTCCAAAGGCTATGGCTGCAACACTAGCGGAATTGCAACTCTTCTTGCTATTTGCACATTTGTTTAATTTTAAAGAAAATCTTTCTATTGATCACATTTAGAAGGTCATTTGGACAAGTGTAACGGAAACCAAAGGGCAGACAATATTGTATGGCAGTAACTTCCAGGCATTTTTTTATGCACACAAATGGAACATAGTTCAAAGCCAAAAGAGAGTCTGTATGACCCTGAGAAGCTCTGCAAATGAGAGGTTGGACAAACTCTAGTCCGTTTCTGCTTGTGGAAGCTACAGTCAGAAAGCACAGCTCCCTCTGACCACATGAAACGTGCTCGAAGGGCCATGGTTATAACTTTCCTCTCAGCTGTGGGAGCTGACCTTTTCTGTGATTGATGGTGAAGGTCCGAAGAACATCTGTGAGAAACTAAAAACTCTTCCTGGAGGAAATTCTACTCATGGTGGCAACTGCATTGGACAGTTGCCATGGCACTTGCTTCTCAGTGCTCCAAACTCTTCATCTAGAAGAAAATAACATTAAAGAACCACACAGCAGGGGGACCCGCTGATAGAAGAGCTGTCTCTGAATCCAGCCTTCTACCCCTGGCTGTGTGTCCTTGCTATATTACTGGCACTCTGAGAGTGTCTGACAATTCACGGAAAGGAGGAAGACAATAGATTTTGCCCCGTTTGTGCAGAACACACAAAAAGGAGTATCCCCCAAAACAGCAGAGCAGAGTGTAAGTGAGATGAGGGACTTCTAACCCATGGGTGCATCCATACACTCAGGGAAGCAATCAATACTTAAGCTCTTTGATGCCCCTCCATGTTGCCCCTAGAACATAAGTGAGACAAGTATGTCATTGTGTAGCCTCAAAGTAGGGTGACCCTAGCACAAAATTTAATGAAATATAAATAGCCCAGTATTAAGACAAGCATCAGACTCTTCTAAGTAGGGGCCTTACTTAATCCTATATTCAAGAGACAGCAGTCCCCAGATCCTGGGCCAAATCTCTGCTAATGGGATGGGAGTAGAGTGGAGATGGCTGCTGCTTTGAGGGTGAAACAATGACCCTCCCCCCCCATGTTGTCTCCTGTTTTTCCTGTCCCTGTTCTTTGTGGCAATGGCAGAGTCATCACTCTGAAGTGATCACCACCCTGGGAACGGCTGTCTCAGAGTCCTGAAGCAAAAGGAAAGCTCTAGCATGTGAATACACTGAGATGGAGGGGTGTTTGTGTCATTGTAGCAAATATGCAGAGGAAGGGCAAAAGGAGAAGGAAACCTTCTATTCTGGAACCAGGTAAGGGACATTAGATGATGCTTCTCTTGCATTAGTTTTATTCATCAAGTGACAACTGGAAACTAATCCTTGCCCCGTTACCACTCTATGAATACACACTGTATGACCTTCCGGAGATTTGTTTATTTTCAGAAAGAATTATCGTAAGATATATTTTTCCCTCAGATACCTGCCAGTCTTCTGTCCCATTGCAACCCTTGCTCCATTCTTGGCTCAATAGGTGCCACCAATGCTTCAGAAGCCAGGAGGGACTGGGAACACTGTTCTTCACAGACTCCATTTAAGCAAATGGGACTTAAATTTGTCACCAAGACTCGGTAGTTTATCGCCCAACCAACTCCAGCTGATAGTGTTGAGTCAAATTGCTTTCATGTCTCTGAAAGAGGTCATTTTTATCTTCATTTTGACAACTGTTTAGATATTGCACTCCTTCAAAGTTTTTCCTCATTGCTCTCAAACACAGGGTTGCTGTAGGATACCCCCTGAATGTCAGAATAGGAGGTTTGGTTTAGTGGGGGCCAGCTTGCATCATTTGCCAGATTCCTCTGCCATATCCGATACTGGCTTTTTGATTGATAGCCAAAACATCTCTTGACTGCTAGCCACAAAGCTCGGTTTTCAATAATGGTCTCCTGTAAGATAAACGATAAATGATTTTGTGATTTAAGTTACCTAATCCATAGTCATGATCAGACACTCTCCCAGTGTTTGATTACATTCAGTTTAAAAGAAGTTGGGACCTAAGCAAATCTTCAGAAGTATTGCAGCCGGATTCCCAAACTTTTTACTTAAGGAACTCAGCTGAAAAAAGATATTTTCAAAAACCTGGGAATTAAGCTGGAAGCAGCCTACCTCAAAGATAGTTATTGGGAATCTCACATGGAAATCGAATTTAAAATCGTTCAAATTCTATATTTTACACCATATCACATCCAACTTCATGCCTTATAAAATGACATTTTATAAATATCTTAGCATCTCCTAGAATCGAGTGTGTGGAAGGATGCATGATATGTCATTGATAGACCTCCGTCGGGTGCTGCTCACTGTGGGCACAGGGCAATGGAATATAAATAACGGCCTTGGTCTAGGGTTGGAGAAACAGAGGTTCATTTCATAACTGTAAGACTATGGCCAGGTCATTAGTCTGAGATCTGTGTCCAATTCCCAGCACTGAAAAAGACAGTCTAATAGCCTGAATTGGTTGAGTTAGAAATAATAATCCCTTCCTTACACATGCTATAAAGATTATACAACTGCCAGGGTAGGGCAGGGCACCGCAGGGCAGGGCACAAGCCTTTAATCCTAGCACTCAGGAAGCAGAGGCAAGCAGATCTTTGTAAATTCAAGGCCAGCCTGGTCTACAGAGTGAGTTCAAGGGCAGCCAAAGTTACACAGAGAAAACCTGTCTCAAAAAAATGAAAAAAAAAATACAGTAATAATAGTAATACCACATAAAGGTGGAAAATATACAGAGAGTCTGGATACTGTAAGTTATTGTGTTGTCTTTGAATTGTTTGATTTCTGAGAAAGGAGTAACAGCTGCTAACAGACTTTTGATTATAAACACAGCTGGATTAATCCAACTTACATATTTTTAAATGCCTTGATATCTAAATTTAAGTATGAGGATATGTTACTTTGGAAAGAGATTTTTGTTTTTGTTTCCACAGAAGATAAAAAGATAAGATGTGGATTCCTTCCAGACTAATATGATTTGACCAAGCAAGACCCCCTGAAGTAATAGCCCAGGTGATCCAACATCCAAAACAGGTGTGTGTGTGTGTGTGTGTGTGTGTGTGTGTGTGTGTGCGCGCACGCGCGCATGCGCGCGCGCGTGTGTGAACCCATGTGTGTTTGTGTATGTGTTCCATATTTTGTCTCTAAGTTGAGCATTTTAAATATTTTCCTAAAGGAAAAGGAGAACAAACTGACAAAATTAGAACTGATTTTGATGCCCAACCAGGTTATCTTTTGTGCACTGAGTTAGTGAGGAATTATGGAAGATGTAGTTTTCCTAAAATCTGCATCTCTTTGTTACTTTAGTCTTGTTGTCCATAGTAAAGATAAGAAGCACAGCTTGCCAGAGTCTTTTCCTCTGAACACTGTTAGGCCTCTTGGAAGGAACTAAGACCCAAAGGGCAATTTTCAGCATCTGGCCCACCTGCTGGTCTGCCTTCCCAGAACAGGAGCTGGGAGCTCTCCCTGAGGCTGGGTGAAGGCAGAGAGCACTGATAACAACTCCAAGTTTTAAATATAACAGTTATAGGGAATCTAAGAATTTCTTCAAAGAAGTTAAATGAAAGATGAGATAGGGATCTCCACAATGTGTGGAATCTTCCTCCTTCTAATGTGCTACTTCTACCCCCTTGCCCCTCTCCAAAGAACAGCTGAAACATTCCTTGCTGCATGATCTGCCTTGCCATTCTGCCTTGTAAACCAAATGCATAGCTAGGAGCAAAAGCAAAGCTTTCATGAGAAGCCATTTCTTTAAAAAGAATTCTCTATAAGCTTTTCCAACTGGTTACTCCATGCTTAAGTACTTATGGACACACACAAGCACAGTAATAATAAAAAAAAGTTGGCATTTATTAAAGCCATTCATATCAGCTCCCATGCTTCTCAGCAGGCAGGGAGGGAGACTCACAGAGTAAGATCTCAACTGAACCTATTGGGTTTCTGAGCTTCTCTGAGATCAGCATTGGAGCCAGACATCAGCAAATCAGACAATACTTGAAATGCTGCAAAGGAAACCAGACATCATGCCTACCCTTGAGAAAACTGTTTGGACTACATATAATATAAGCTGGCCTGAAGGTTGGGGTTAGCTCAATTCACCCAGCATTCCTTCCCACTTTCTGGCACATATGTAGAGTCACCTAAGGGACATCTTGCTAGTCCATGATGGTCTTTACCTACTCTCTTAGGTTCATTCACCACATGGGGCAATAAAACATAACATCCATCATTCTCAACTATAATAACCCTCTATCAAAGACTCAGTAATTCTACTCTATCTCTAAGCACCTGCTGACCACAGAAAAAGGGGTTGGTGAACAAGTGAATGTCATAGGAAAGGTGTCTCAAGTGCCTAATTTTTCAATTTAGAAGTTTCTGCCTGCTGTGGAATAATCCTTCTGTACACTGTGTGAATATATATCATGATAATTAGTTTAATAAACAAGCTGACTGAACAATAACTGAAAAGGATAAATTAGGCAGGGAAGCCAGACTGAGAATGATGGACCAAGAAAGGGCAGAGTCAGGGGTTGGCAGCTGGATGGAGAATGAGTTGGACACACAAAATGGGATAGAGATAAAAGATAAAAGCCTGGGGGCTGCACATAGATTAATAGGAATCGTTTAAGTTGTAAGAGCTAGTTAGTAACAAGCCTGAGCTACTGGTCAAGCATTTATAATTAATATAAGCCACAGTGTGTTCATTTGAGAGCAGATGCAAGACAGGAAAACACTACCTAAAGCTGGCAACCCACAGTAACATGCACTTGTGTGTGTTCATCTCTCATTGAACATGAGAACCAAAGAAGATGCCTCACTTTTAATGAATATCAATAACCCATCCCAACTGCTGGTCATGAGCAAGGTCATTGCTAACCTTTAATTTAAATGACTCTTACTCATCCCCTAGTAGAATTTTAAATACAATGATTGCAAGATTAAATGCAATGAAATGCAGGATTTTGCATGCAATAGCTACTAACACAGTTCTTATCAACAGAGCTTGATGGCAAGAGAAGCCGTTAACACACAAATAACTTTAGCACATACCTGCTAATTGCCTGTAGATTGTGAGTCCCACCCCCCCCACCCCCCTTATCTTTCTCCTAGCAAATACTCTGGAAATGTCCCAGGGCCAATGAACTGTTGTGGCAAAACAAATGTATAAAGGCATGGTTGAAAGAGTGACAGAAACAAAGTAAGAAATGGTAAGTGTCATGAGAGATGAAGATGGCTTGTTACTTATACTATTTTTTGTTGTATTTGTTTTTGTATGTGTTTGAGGTGCCTTGTTTCTATTTTTGCTTGGTTTGTTTAGGTTTGGACTTAGACTAAATCTCCTTACATAGCCCAGACTACCCTCAAACTCTTGATCTTCCTACCTCAGCTTCCCAAGTTCTAGGACTACAGGCAGGTGGCACCATCATGTCCTGATAGGGTTAGGTCTATTAAAGACCTACTATGTGCTTCTCTTTGCTCACATTTCAGTCCGTATGTATATGAAGTAAGGTGTGATTACTAACCATTTTATAGCATAGAGAGCAAACCCAATGAAACAAAATAATAAGTTAAGCATCAATGAAGAGCTGTAGCCAAGATTCATGCCAGAAGGGTTTTCTGAGCCTGTGCTCTTTGCTGAAAATATACCAACCAGCAGGAAAGGGCTTTCTGCTAGGACACAATGACAGACTTAGACACTTGACAACCATTGTTCTTCCGTCCACCCAACCAAAACCAACCAAACAAACAAACAATTAAAAAACCAAGCAAACAGTCTGAGCCAACCTGTCTGAGGAACATGGGTTCTCTTACTCAGAATGCCTTTCTATTCAGAATAACAACAACCAGACAGTTCTAACTATTGAGGCTTATGAAAAAGTCTGCTGAATTGCCATAGGAAAACTTGTGTTTCCTGGTTATACATTCATATCTGAGGAAATAAACACCACAAGTACCTCCTCTGTTTCCTTCCTGCCCATAAATGGATGTGTCACACAACTAGGCTGGAGACCTGATCAGGAAACATGACAGGACACATCCAAGGCAGATGGTACTGAAAGGGACAGACCTCTAGCATGTGAGAGTCCTGACGTGTCCACCTCAAGTTCCTAAATCAGTAAAGGTCTGTGCTGTTTAAAATGCACTTGGTGAGTGTTGTTAATTGCCTAGCAGACCCATGGATCAGGAAAGATTCATGAAGAGGTCAGTCCTGTGTCTGTTCCATAGAGGAATATATAACATCATGGAACATAACATCAGTGTGCAGACATGTAGAAATATGTTTCAAATTGAAAGAGCAGTCAGCAAGACACATATATAAGAGTATCCTTTAAATCCTGTGGGGTTTGACCCCTTTGGGAGCTGCTTATCAGAATTTATATTATGATTCATAACAGTAGCAAAATTACAGTTATAAAATAGCAATGAAGTAATTTTATGGTTGGGGGTCACCACAACATAAGGAAGGTTGAGAACCACTGCTTTAAATGGTGGTTTCTTCTTCTGCATCTCAGTCTGAGGACACCCACATTAATCTGGTGGGTGTCCAGAATGCTTCAGAGAATACATGACTTGGCATAGTTCTTTCAAAGTATGCTGCCCAAACCCATCACCTGGCAACCTATAGGACATGCAGGCTCTCACACCTACTCAGTCAGACACAGTGAAGGGAGGGTTTGATAATCTGTTCTTCCCATTTTATCTAGCCTGCCTGATGAGTATGATGCTCACTCTGCTTTGGCATAACCTGGTGTAGGCTCCAGAGAGAGGCTCCAGTGCCTAATTCAGGCCTCTGTTCTTCCACTGACCACTGTGGCAGTCTTTGCTCTACACAGGAAGGAATGTTCTTGGAGATCCTGTCTTCACAGCACTAGATGGGAGGCCAAGTTATGAGAAAGCAAAAACCCACTGTGAATACCCCAGTTGCTGGAACATGATAATTCTACAATTCAGGAAGAGAGAGAGAGAATCCTACATTTCTCCTCTTCTTCAAGGATACCTTCGTTAGGTACTACCTTCTAATACCAGGCTTTGAAGAAGGGAGATTATGTCTAATATCACTGAGAGGAGAGAGGGTGAAACAATTAGATATAAAAATGGGTACAAAGCCATTTCACTAAGGAAATGGAGCAAATGGGGATGGCAGAATGAAAGCTGTGAGAAAGCCTCATTGTGAGGCTCATTTCCTGCCACAGGTGAAAAGAATACATGCTGTTAAACGCAAGAAGTCAGATAAAAAAAAGGCCCTCTCCTCTGAAGCAAAATGGTGCACATTCAATAGGCAGAGACAGGAATGCTGGAAGTTCAAAGCCAGCCGGAGTTACTTTGTAAGACCCTGTCTTAAACAAACAAAAGGGAGTTATGGGAGTGGCTTAGTGGTAGAGTGCTTACCTAGCATGGCCAAGGCCCTGGGTTTAATTTTCAGCTCTTAAGACAAAACAAAAAGCAAAGCCACAAAGCCACGTAGGAAATGATTTTATTTATATGATATGTCCCAAATAGGAAAATCCACTGAGACAGAAAGTGTATTTATGGTTGTCAAGGAGGAATGGAATGGAATAGAAATCAGTTGCTAATGGGTTGTGTGATTTCTTTTTGGAACTAGGTAGTGTTGATGATTGAACACTCCTCAACTATACTAAAATCATTGAACTGTTTGCTTTTAAATGGTGAGTTTTATATTGTACATCTCAATTTTAAAATGTAAATTCTGTTTGTGCCCATATGTGTAGCCATTTGGGCGTGGCCTCAAGCTTCCCTCTTTCCATTTCCAACTGCCTGAGGTCATGCTCAAGGGGGTGTAGACACTGTTACAAGTTCACTGACAAGATGCCTTACACATATTGGAGAATTTTAATAAATAGAGCCTTAAAGATCATGATCACGTCCTCCCTACCACACTTCTCAGATGAGAACACCAAATGCTTGTTTCTCATCAGAGAAAAGCACACCATACACATGCCACACCTTTGCCCACAGAGTAAAGGAAGGACCATCACAGCATCAGGGTTTTGCACATTAAAGTTGTTCCATTCTTGAACTCTTAAAGAACTGGGCCCCACTCACACAACACATAGCCTAGGGGCACTTACCTCCACAGCAAGGGACACAACAAAGTTGGAGCTGATCATGACGAGAATGTAGACTCTCCAAAGGACAGGAGTGCAGAGCAGCTGGCAGAAGATGACAAATGGCAGTTAGCCTTAGAACACACATGCTGGAAAAGTTTCCAGGCTCACATTTGGGCATTTGTATCAACTACAAATCACAGTGGAAACACAAACACATATATGCAGGCACACATGAGTGATATCTCCAGGGTTAAGAGAAGCTATAAATCACCCACCACACACATATACATGTGTACACATGAGTGATAGCTCAGGGATTAAGAGCACTTGTGTTCTCTCAGGCTCAACAGTTCAGTTCCCAACACCCACATCAGATGGCTCACAACTATATGTAACCCAAGCTCCAGGTAAACTAACACTTGATTCTGGTCTTCATGAGACCCACATGTATTTGCACAAATTCACACTCTGACACACAGACATGCAGAGATTAAATAAATCTAGAACATAAATGCATTAGTAATAAAGTATAAATGGCAGTTGTATATAGTACATATGGCAGATATACACTTTTACATACACATATACATAAAAACTTGTGAGTGTGGAAAACAGATGTTCAATCGTTTGAGGATTGTGACTGTTGTTTTCTTTTTTTCCTTCCTTTCTTTTCTTTCCCTCTTAGTCTCTTTTATCTAAAATTTCTTCATTTTCTATTTTGATCACTTTGCAATTAAAATAAACAACAGTAAACCCTTTCTATCTATTTGCTTTTTGTTGTTTTGAAGAGGGAACGCAGGAATGTGATTTTATTCCCAGGCATCTCTAAGGATACATGTGTGGAATCTCCACCATGGACAGTATGGCCTTCTGTCCTCAAGTGCAATGTTTCTCTTTATTCAAGTCCTGCTTTGGAGTACTGCTTTCTCCAGACTGTGCCTATGATTCATAGTCTGTGCCCCTATAAGGGTACTTGCCTAAGGAACACATGGAGCTGAAAGCAAGCTCTTTCCACACTTCCTCTGTCTACTTCCAAGCCCTCTTCAGGCACAGTTCCTGATACATTAAGTGTGAGAATGAACGGAAGGATGGATGGATGGGTGGATGGATGGATGGATGGGGTTGATGTGTGAATGGATAGATGGATGGATGGATGGGTGGGTGGATGGGTGGGTGGGTGCATGAGTGCATGGATGAGCAAGTATATTCTGCTGTGTATTACATGTATTATACAATGCCTTGTATGCTGATAGAATCCTATAGAGAACAATGTTCCCAAAATGATTATTTTAAATCCACTTCTAGGAATTTAATCCTGGCATAAACTTGTACATGACTAAAAAGACATTACACATGTTTCTTTTACTGTGTCTTTGTAGGGGTAACAACTTAGAAACAGCTACATGTCAGTAATGGAACTGCACATAAGTTATAATACATAAACAATCTATACCATGAAATATAATGCATATGTGTATATTAATAAAGTATCGCATTATCATAAAATAATGGAGAAGGCTTATGTGATAGTGTAACAAAATTACCAAAATATACTGTTACATGAAAGAAATAAGGTACAGGAGGGCTGTGTATGTGGTTGTAGCAACCATGAAAATATTCCACTCAGCTCTCCCGCTGATGGGAAGGTAAATACACACAGCTATGAAAATGTTCCACTCAGATCTCCCGCTGTTGGGAAGATAAATATTGGCTACCCCAAACACTATATTCAAAATCTACCGCAACTTGCACTCCAACACTGTCCTCCCATGGGCTACTCAAGGCAAGCAAATGGGGACAGCATGGATTCTCAGTCCTGTACCAGGCCAGGCATTCCTTAAGTAGGCAATACTTAAGTCTCAGGGGGTCCTCTTTCCTCCCCTCCCTACTTCACTGGCTTTGATCTTCAGGTAGTGTGAAGCCTCTCTTCAACTTACCTGGTTCCCACCCTTTTCTCCCACAGATACCTTCTACAATGAAATTCTTGCATAGCACATCCCACATTGATGTCAACATCTCAGAGTACTAACAAATGGAATAGTTTGCTACCATTGTGTAAAACTGTGTGAGAAGATTCACACATATAAGTACTTCTCTGTATATGTAGAAAATAAAGTGTGAAAATGAAAAAAAAAAAAAAAAAAAAAAAAAAAAGACCTTGATACCATGTACTGCCTCCAGAGGGAAGCTGGGTGAGGATGGATATTTTACCATATTCATATTTAAAAAAATTTAATCCAGGCAGTGGTGGTGGCCTACACCTTTAATCCCAGCACTTGGGAGGCAGAGGTAAGTGGTTCTCTACGAGTTTGAGACCAGACTGGTCTACAGAGTGAATTCCAGGACAGGCTCCAAAGCCACAGAGAAACCCTGTCATGAGAAACTAACTAAATAAATAAATAAAAATAAAAAGTTAAAACATGTGAATGTATTCCTTGTTTTTTAAAAAAATCTAGGTTGTGAAACAACGTGATTCCATTCATAACAAACTTCATAAATTTGAGGCAAAGCCCATTTACAATGCATGAATTTTAAAAGATGGAAGGGTAACATATAATGTTATAATTTTCCTTGCCTGACTATTCCACATTTTGTAAGAGAGACCAATATTTATGTGATAAGAAGGCTTGGTTTTAAACGGGATAATGCATCTTTTCAGCATTCTTTGTAGCCATACTGTCATGGGCTGGGCACAGCTCTCACCAGACAAAAACATTACCTTTTAATATTGCAGAGCAGAGTGCTAGTCTGTCTCTCAGAGTCATACATACATACATATATACACATATATACACATATACATACATATAGACATATATATACATACATATATATATATATATATATATATATATATATCTGCTTCCTTTTCCTAGCTTAAGTAGGTAAGTTTATGATATCTTGTGGGATTTCAAACTCGTCTCAGTTACATTTTGTTTAATGTAAGAGAGCTTGAGATGGAGCAGCAAGCCTATTGGAAAGCCCCTTTGAGGTATAACTATGACAACACAGAGAAGCATAAAGTTTTCAAAGTACAGATTTGAGAATTAACCTAAAGGTGGTTGCAGGCAAAATTTATTTAAACAGCATTTGAAAGGAGAAAACATATAAGTAGATTTTTTTACCAGTCTTACAGAGGATTTTGTTTTCAATGAAAAATGGTTGGATTCTTTTCTGAAGTCTGTTAGTCTCAGAATCAATGCTTGATGGAATTTTATTTCCTGATTAGCTTCAGTAAAAACTAGATACAATTCAGTGTTATTTTAAACTCTGCCAGTTCCAGAGTACACAGCCGGTGTCAGGAGCCCATGTCAGTTCCAACAGTGACCTGCTTTCAGAAGCCAGTGACAAAAATACATGACACCATAATTCCAGAGAAGATACTTACATCCAAACGCCTATGCAACTCTGGAATATCCGCAAATAGAATGAAAAGACATACACCCATCTGTAAAATCAGCACAAGGACAAATATATCTGAGGAAACAAGAACACAAGCTATCATTTTGAGAAATCGTTGGAAGCACTATGTCTATTGACTGATGTATTCTAGGTTAAGGCTGATGACATTTCCTCGACTTTGGCATCCAAATACAGCATAACGAATGAAAGCACTCATTTCCATGCAATGGGTCTCACTTCCATAATTTCTATGTTTTTTTTTATATGTATGTTATGTTTCAATTAGTACAGGTTATAAATGCATGGAGCCTAGCAATGGTACAATGTCATTTTGTGAGGGCTTTAAAGACATTTAAGCAGCTGGTTTTAATATAAGGTATCTGCCTCCAATCTACTTCTGGAAAACCAGGAACACCATAAACACATGAAATTTTAAATTGTGATTATATAAAGATGACTATTCAACCACTTCTTCATCCCACTAAGAGAAGAAAAATGAGATAACAGTTTTCCTGGGATGATTTCATATGAAGATATTGATCCTTCAACTTGTGCTCCTGAATTTTTACAATTAGAGGGTTGGTACCAATAAACAAATATGTGTCTCAGAAACTAAGTAGGGCACCCACTTCTATAAAATCTTCTGTGTCTGTGTTCCTAAATTACTCCAGCTAAGAGTGTTCCCAATGCTGTATGATGAGATTCCTCGGATCTGGACCTACTCCCAGGCTACCACCACACAATGCCGTCCCAGGTGAGGGCTGTGACCCTTTCCGTGTCCCTGAGATGAATCCCAAAAGACACTGGCAAGTAAAGATTGGTCTCTGTGCTGATCTTCCCAACTTAGTCCGATCCTAAGAGAAATCACCTAAAGACAACTTCTGGTGGAGCTCTGGGTTGAAGAGAGAAGCTGCTCTTTGATGAAAAGGGAGAGGCAGGAGAATCGGGCCACAGTGTTTGGCGAAGCTTTGGAGTGGACGTGAAGGGACTCTAGCTGAGACTCAGCTGGGGAGTTGCTTCCTGGGTGGCTTGAGCATGCCTGTTCTAATGGTCGGCAATAGTCACATCATCATCCCTTGGCCTCCATGCAGTGATACTCACAGTTTGTATAGGTGGGCTGCCTAAATGGTTTTCCTTTAGAGAACACAAAGGCCACGGCGATGCAGTTGATTGTTCCCAAAAACCATATAGTAGTATTCTCAAAACTCGCAAAGGCGCTGTGGCTTCTGGTTTTCTCGGGAACAATTGGAGTCGTGTTTATGACTGAGATGTTCTCGTTTCTCATTGTGCAGGCACTACAAAAGGAGCCAAAAGAGTCAAAGGAACCCTCAGAACACATTTGCATCTGCAGGTCACTGTGGCAAACAGTGTCTGGAGCACACATCCAGTATTTCAAGGTTGTCTCCATTGTGGTAAAGAAGAGACAAAATAAGGGAAAACTAAGGTCACACAGATGCTTAACTCTGTGTTTGAATAGGTAAATAGCTACACAGGCAGATCCTACTGTCTGCTTGTTCATTAAGCTGTGTGCCCATCAAGTATATTAAGGGGAAGGGTGAGAAAATTGTGATTCTTCCCTTAGAAATACATAGGGTGACACATACTTTATCATTGAACAGGGCCAGTTTTGAAAGGAAAAGATTTTGAACATTTCACCAGACATGGCTTAAACTGGACTCCTTAAACTGGAGCAAACCAGGAAAGTTATATAATCCCTAGCCACCCTCATTATTAAACAACACAGTCAAAGGTGTGTGACAAAAAGACAGATGATTTTTGAAAAATTTCCCAATAGACTTAAAGGAACTGAAATCCTTGGTAGGTGAAGACCCATTTGCCAGATGATGTCTGACAGAAGTCAGACTTCAAGGGGCTGGGTTTGAGGCCACAGATACCTGTGCAACTCCATGAAGTACCAAGGCTGCTTCTGCACGAGGATGAAGCCCACGATGTGCATGGCCAGACTGAGAAGGATGTTGAGGATAACTGAGAGCAGCAGAGGTGGAGAGATCAGCCGCCCTGTAGGCCTGAAAGGTACCAGCTTGGGGTTGGCACCATTCAGATTCACTACAAAATAAATCCAAGGTTAACACGTGTGAGGACGGAAAATATTGCATTCTTAATGGTAAGGGTGCATGATTGATACACCTGTCAACCCTTAATCTGAGGAGCTTCTATTTGTGGCAGATGGCCATTAACACAGAGACCTGTAACTGATCAAAGCAGAGAAAATGGGACTGTGGAGTGCTCAGTCCTAAACACGACATCTGTATCACAGCCCATTCTCCAAAAACTCTAGAATCTTTGCAAAAGAGAGGCCAGAAAGAATGTGCAAGGCAGAGGGAGTCGGTGGCTACATTGAAACAGGGTCTTCTGGTCACAGAGCAGCTCACATGTGAACTCCCAGCAGTTGTGACAGCATGCACAAGATCTGTGCAAGTGAAAGCCAGACAAATCCCACAATGGACAGGGAAGCTGAGTGTAAAGCCCTGTCCCTAGCTGAGGAGTGCTTGGCAATTGATAGCTACAAGGAGACAGGGTCGGTTTTCTTAAGAGTGTATCCCCAACTAAGACAACCAGTCTCCAATGGAAGGCCACATATTCAAGAATATTTGTATGGCACAAAGTTGGAGGACACAAAGTTGGAGGGGCGTGAGTCTGGGAGGAGTTTGGTCCAGGGTGACTACGATAAAAAAAAATTTACTGAAGTTGAAGAGATGGCTCTGAAATTACAAGCCCTGGATGCTCTTCCAGAGCTCCTGAGTTCAGTTCCCAACACCACCATGGTGGCTCACAGCCATCTATAACTCCAGTTCTAAGGGGTCCAAATGCCCTTTTCTGGCCTCTGCAAGTACACACAAGGTGCACAGACATACATGCAGGCAAGACAACCATACACATACAAATAAGTAAATAGATAAATGGGCATGGTACAAAAGTGTTAAAGAACTAATACGTTGAAAGAGAAAAAAATGAATGATATAACTTCTCTGGCCCAAACATTTAAAGAAATAGACAACTTCAAGCACATAATAAACTCTGGAGAACAAAACAGTTATGGTTCCAAATCCAAGTCATGAGGAAGTTTCAAAGGAGCAGACAGAGAACAAGGTGCCTTTTATGGCTTATCAAGTAGGTAAAGACTATCAAATGTTAAGAAAGAAAGATAGCATGTATCCTTTTGTGAACTGTTGTAGGAATGTGAATTGAGACAAAATTCAGTGCAAAGAAATAAATATGAAAATGGGGGGGAGGGAGGGAGAAGCATTCCACTTTTTGGTTTCCACTTTGAGAAATGTATCCTAATCAAAGCAATTAAAATTTCAGAACCATGTTCATCGTGGCATCATTAATATCGAGGGTAAAGAAACACTTCCCAGTTTAAAGGTGTCAAGAAAATGGAGAAGGCATACAGAAAGCTCTCATCTCTCCAAAGAAACACTGAAAAATATGCAAAACCATCCAAACCAATCTCTGCTAGAACTCTGGAAAACACACAAAAGTTTGTAGCAACAAAGCAGAGAGTGAATTAAGGTGGGGGAAAACCTCATTTAAAATGATAAGGATTTTTAATTCTTTAAAAATGTTTTATGCTCATTTATTCATTCACTATTTACTTCTTTGTGTGTGTGTTTATTGTTTGTATGCCCACAAGCAAGCACCGTGTGTGTGTGTGTGTGTGTGTGTGTGTGTGTGTGTGTGTGTGTGTGTAAGGTAGGAGACAACTTCAAAGATCTCCTTTTCTTTTTCCACCATGTGGATTCCAGGGATGGGACTCAGGTTGTCAGGCTTGGCTGCAAGTGCTCTTACCCACTGAACCACCTCACTAAAATTACAGGAGAGTTTTGTCACATTTCTGCATGTGCTTTTCCCCACTTCTTCATCAGCTCAGAATTCGTCTTGAAGATGGTCCCCTGCATTCCCTGAGATGATCCATGGTTCCTAGTCAGAGAACCAGCACAGTAGACTTTACCCACAGGTTCATGTGCAGGTCTGTTGTGATGTACCTGGCAACTACCTGAGAAATGGTTCCAGATTTTCATCTCCTTTTCACTTAATGTGTAACTCCTAATATGAAATTCATTCAGGTCAAAACCAAAAACAAACCAGCTTACAGTGCTTGAAAATACTGTAAGGTACCATTTCAAAATAGTCTCCACAAAAGATAAAAAATAGAACCACTGAAAGCTGGGGAAACTTGGAGAAATTAGAGCATTCAAAAGCATCTATATATGCTTTGGGATAAATGGAATAAAAAGCTAGACAGATGTTTGATGCTTGATTCACACTTACAGACCCAAAGCTCATGACTTTGCATGGTCTCTAGACTCAGTGTGGATCTGTCATGTTCGAGTACACATGCCAGCAAGAGCCAATCTTTAAAGTCTGAGAAAGCTGCTCTCCTCATTTATTTTTTAGCTGCTGGAGTTCAGGGGTGTCTCTGTCAAAACATGAGCTAAAGAAACAGAGATAAGTGGCTACTCAGTACAGTGATGACTTTGCAAATTCAATTTGGGGAACTCAGTAATAAATCAATGACTATAGCTTTCAAGAAATAGCAAACCGAAACTATCAAACCTAGAAAAGTAGGTTAATTTTATACCCAGTTACTATATATGCAATAATGCTCAGAACAAAATGAGCTAAAAGAAACCACCGCTGAAGAATCATACACATGAGGTTTCATATGCAAAGACTTTTTAATTGCTGTTGTAAATATCTTTAAAACTAAATGAAGGGGCTGGAGAGATGGCTCAGTGGTTAAGAGCATTGGCTGTCCTTCCCAAGGATCCAAGTTCAATACCCAGCACCCTCATGGTGGCTCACAACCCACATGTAACTCCTGTTCCAGGGACCAGTTACCCTCTTCTGACATCTGAAGGCACTGCACACACATGGTGCACAGATGTCTATGCAGGCGACATCCATATACATAAGATAAAAACACATGGAAACATAGTTATTTTAAAAAGAACTAAATGTTTTTTTTAACAACATGAACAAAAAGTTAAGGAAAGTTGTAGTCAAATGAAATGAGACTGTCAGGAAAACTATCGAAATTATTAAAAGAAACCAAAAGATATAATGTCATAGGAAAACACAATAAATGATGATAAAAAAAATGATTAAGGGAGTAGGTAGCTAGTTCAACATGGAAGAGCACTTGCTGTTAAAATAAGATGACCTGGGTTGAAATCCTTAGCACTCATATACATAACTGAGCAAGGCTAGGTATGCCTGTGACTCTAACACTGGGAGGCAGAGACAAGGAGTCACAGGGCCTGATCTAGTCAAAACAGTAAGCTTCAGGTTACAGACTCCATCTCAGAGAGTAAAGAAGAGGGTAACAGAGAAAGACTCCTGAGTCTTCAAGTTGAGGCCATCCTGGGCTGCTTACCAAAACCTTAGCTCATGGAAAAAAAAAAAAAAAAAAAAAAATATATATATATATATATATATATATATATATATATATATATATATATAAAGGACGGGAAATGGTTCAGTAGGTAAAAGGACTTGATGAACTCATAAAACTTGAGTTCAGTTCCTGGGACCCGCATGGTGAAAGAAAAATACTGATTCTCACAAGCTTTCCTTTGGATTCCACATGTGTACCATGGTATACATGTGTGCGCGCGCGCGCGCACACACACACACACACACACACAAACGCACACACGAACACATGCACACAAAGAGAGAGATACATACACACAGAGACACACATTCTCTCTCTAAATAAAACATAATTTTAATTTTAAGGGGCAGAAGACAGTATGTATAATGGGAGAAACAGTTTTATACTTTTACAGTCACGCTGAGAAGTGCAAGTCAAAACCATGATAGGACGGGATGAATTTCTGTATGTATACATAACAACAATAAGTAAAGAGGTCATGAATTTGAGAAGGAGTGGGGATGGCATAGGGAAGTTGGGATGGGGAAAAGAGGGGTAGAAATGATGTAAACATAGTACTCATGTATAAAATTCTCAGAAAAATTAAAAGACTATACGGATAGAATTACTTTTCCAGAATTACATACTAAATTTTTATTGAGGCTGCTAAGAAATTGGAACTCTCATCCATTGCTATTGAAAACTGAAAATGGTACAGTCTCTGGGAAAATAGTTTGGTGTTTCCATAAAGATCAAATATGTAGTAGTTACATGATACACAAATTCCATTTTGTTACTTATAGAACTGAAAAAACTCAAACAGATTCTTTATGCAAATGTTCATTATAATACTATTCACAATAGCCAAGAGAAGGAAGCAATCTAACTTCATCACCAAAGTAACAGAAAAAAATGGAAAATATATATAGATGTAAATATGGAAGACATATCCACTAATTAGTGTTTGTCTATAATATAGAACGAAGTTTTGATATATGATGCAAAATGTAAGGAACCTTGAAAACATCATGTTAAGTGAGAGAAACAGAAACAAAGGGGCAAACTATATGACTTTGTGTATATAAAATATGTGAATTAGACAAATTAATTCAAATAAAATGTAGAGAAGAAGTCACCACAGATTGGAGAGAGAGCTTGGCGTGCTTGCTGGATGGGTAAGGTATCTGTTTGGGGACAGTAGTGATGAAGGTTACACAGATCATTTTAAAGGAATTAGTATGTCACAATAATATGCTTAAAATGAAAATTTCATGCTACATGTATATTTTACAAAAAATAATGTAATAAAATTTAAAAGTAGTTATAAAAGCAAATTTAAACAAAATTTTCAAAAACAGTATTAAACCAGCCATGGTGGTGCATTCTTATCTTCCCCAGAATTAGAATGAAATAGAAGAATCACAAATTTGAAGGCAGCCTGGATACAGCACTACCTGGTCTCAAAGAAAAAAATTAAGATGTATAAAGATAGAGAAAACATAAATCAAAATCTTGATTAATATGAGAAAGACTGGAAGAAATGCACCAGAACACTTAAAGTGCCCTGAATGGAAGGATGAATTAGCCTTGTTTGTTTTCATAAAGACTAGATTTTTAGGAACATATATACTTAATATTTTTAAGAAGAAAAATGATCAGGTTATTTAATGGAAGATAGAGAAAATCCTCTAGATGTTTACTCAACAGCTGAGAACAAACACAAAATAGATGACAGATGTTTCCAAAGAAGCATGAAGAGCTTCGGGGAAGGAAGCCAGGCTATTTGGTGTTGTTCTAAGTAGTAGAGCTGGGAGGTGTGAAAACGCAGAGATAGCGGTGGTTCCAGGTGAAGGGAAGGTCTGGTATTTGTAGAGACTGTCCAAAAGTATTCTTAATAAGACCCAGCAAGCACCAATAAGCTGTTGCCTGTGTCAGTCATTGCTGGAGGTACTGGTAACACAGCAGCAACCAAAACACACAGGGTGTGGTCTCAAACAACACACACTCAAAGGGGAGGGATGCAGGAAAAAAAAAATCAATCAAAATAAAGATAAAATCGTAATGTCGAATTATGGAAAAGTAATGTGAAAAATAAAGCAGACTTATATGGCAAAGAATAATCGACTTGGTCACTACTTACAGGTAGCAATATTTTAGCTGAGACACAAATAATGAGGGAAAGCCAAAGTCATATGAAGCACTAATGGAGAGTATGCTACCCAAAGGGCAGGGGAAAAGCAAGGATGCTGTGGTGACCATTTGATACCAACACCCAAAAGCAAAGCCACCAGCCTGAAAGGCACAAGTAGTGTTAATTCGGTCAGAAGTGGTGATGACACAGGCAAGACCCCAGTCATAAAAATTTGAATCTCAGGAGATAGGAAGTTACTAAAGACTTTTCTTTGCATTTTGTTTACTATTATTATTGTAGTGCGAGGGCATGTTCCACTGAATGAGTGTGATCAGAGGAAAACTCCATGAAGTAATTTCATTCTCCTTTCCCCCTTCCGTGTGGATGCTGGGAACTCAAGTCTCTGGGCTTACATGGCAGACCCCACTGGATCATTTTTAAAAAGGGGAGCATCATAATATTTACATTTTTTAAACAAAAACTTTTAGTATTATGTGAATGTAACAACTGAAGACAGTTTTATAGAAATATTGTAGGGCAACCTGTAACTCCCCATGTAACTTTTTAAAAGGACAAACGGGGTTGGCAGCAAGAGTGAAAGCCATATCACTTATAAAGGCAATGCTGGTCTCATCTGCAATTGTGGAATATTATTTTAACTGGGTAAAAAGTACTATATTTGTTTATGCTGCAGAATATTACATTAACTGTGCAAAGGTGTGTTACTTTTGTTTATGCTGCATTTACTTAATGATGTACAGATGTGTTGCATTTGTTTCACCTTGCCTGCCTAAGGCACCTGGTCTAATAAAGAGCTGAATGGCAGAGAAAGGATAGGCAGAGCTGGCAGGCAGAGACAATAAATAGGAGGAGAACTCTAGGCTCAAGAGAAGGAAGAGAAGAAGGAAGAGGAAGAAAAGATGAAGAAGACACTCAGGGTAGCTACCAGCCAGCAGACATGAGAAGTGAAAGTAAGATAAACAGAAGAAAAGTAAAGCCCCTAGGCAAAAAGTAGATAAAGAAAAAGAGGTTAATTAACTTAAAAGAGCTAGTCAGAAATGAGCCTAAGTTAGGCTGAGCATTGAAAACCAATAATAAGTCTCTATGTCATGATTCGGGAGCTGGTTGGTGACCTAAAAGAAATAGCCTGGCACAGCCCACCCAACAAAAGAGGTGACAGTGGTAGGAAGCGAATCGGGATGAACTTGGAGGCAGATCTTATTAAGACTGTCTTAGTCAGTGTTCTACTGCTGTGAAGAGACGCCATGAGCGTGGCAGCTCTTATAAAGCAAAGCATTTAATTGGGGCTGGCTTGCAGTTTCAGAGGTTTAGTCATTATTATCATGGTGCGGAGCATGTTAGCACACAGGCAGACATAGTACTGGAGAAGTAGCTAAAAGTTCCTGCTTCCTTTGAATTTGGATATAGAAGAGAAAGACACTGGGCCTGGCTTAGGCTTTTGAAACCCCCAAGAACATCCCCAGTGATACACTCCCTCTAATGGAGCCACATCTAATCTCTCTCAAGTAGTGCCACTCCCTAATGACCAAGCATTCAAATATACAAGCCTATGGACTCCATTCCTGTTCAAGCTACTAGAGGGATGTCATATATATTAGACAATTGGGTGGAAATAAAACAGAATAACTATAGGTCTTTAATTTGAACAACTAAGGCGGTAGCAATGCTATCTCATAGATTGCCCAAAAGCCTGGAGCATTAAGCAGCACAAACAAGCTACTCAGTAAGTTTACATAATTATGTCTGGCAGAATTAAGAGTTTGGCTGGAGTACGTTATGTGTGGGGTGGGCCCTATTAAATATGCAAAGCTGGATGCTTCATTCCAAAGCTCCAGATAATCATCTCATCTGTAGCTATAAACTGGGGATTCATCACACACAGATGACTTTAAAGTCATGTGACTGGTTGACATCCCTTAAAGCCAAGGTGCAGCCTGAAGACAAGATGCTCTGAAAACAAGGTTCATGGAGATTTTTTTTAAAGGAAAGAGATGGAAGCTGTGCCACTTAAGTGATAGAATTCATCAGAGTGTGGTATCACTAAAGGGAAAACAAAGAAATCTTTTAAGGAAAGATCATGTGGTGTTGAGAGTCCAGTGCTCAAGGAGAAGTGGTTGTTGCTATAGACAGCAGAAAGGCAAGGGGCACTGGCAGCAGCTAGCGGTGGGTAGCCGGTGAAGCGGAGTTAGCAGTTGCTCTCCCTGAGCATGTTCTTTTGTATTTCTGAGAACTGTTAAAATCATGGAAGAAAAGGCATGAAAGCAGGGCCACAGCACGTGTGAAAGAGCAGTGAGTCAGTCTCATGCACCCTCCCAGACACCGGAACCTGGGTGGCTCATAACGGGTAGGTATCACTGGTAAACTTGCAAACAAAAGTGGGCAGTGGAATTGAAATCTTGTATTCACATGAAATTCTGCACACAGATGTTCAAAGCAGTTTTAGTCTTAAACTGTCAAAACTTGAAAACACCAAGATGCCCTTCAGTGAGTAAATGGAGAAATAAACTGTGGCCCAGAGGTCACAGAATGTCATTCAGGCTGCTGAAGAGGTGAACATCAAGCTATGCAAGGTGTGTAGAACCCTCGGACATACAGTATTGCTGTACAAAAGAAGCTGATCTTGGAAGGCCTACTGACTACATCATTCCACCTGCAGAAATTTCTGGGCAAGTGTGGAGACAGTTAAAGACTGTCAGCAGCCTTGGAGAGGGGAGAACAGATAGAGCATAAAACATTTGAGGGTAAGCATTCTGTCTGGTAGTACAAGAATAAGGATCTGTCTCCTGACAGATGTCCAAACTCACAGAGTTTGAGACTAAGCAAAGCCCAATACCAACTATGAGCTTTGGAGCGATCATAATGTCTGACATATGGAAGACAATGGCAGCTAATGTGACTCTCTTGGGGAAGGGGTGAGGTTGACAACAGGGGCACTGTGTACCCTCAGGGAAAAGGAACAAAGTTGTCTCAACTTTGCTGCAAACTTAAAATAGCTTGAAAATGCATTCATAAATTGAAATTTGCCCCTATGTAGGAGACAATCCACATACTCATTAGAAAGGTGGGAAAAGGAGTACTACAATGGCAGAATTGCCCTTAAGTGCCACTTTCTATGCTGAGCGGCTACAGTTTGGAGGTCAGAAAGAGCAAAGCCATTTAGCTCTACAAGTGGAGTGCATTTCAACTACACCTACACCTAAAAGCAAGCTGAAGTAGTCCCTATTTTCAAGGTACCTTTTCACTCTGATTGATTGGGGTCCATTTATAGAAGCTCCCTATTTTGTGGAAAAGGCACAAAGCTAGTTTTTCCCTTTGTTAATGTCTTCTTTTAATAGAATTGAGCATTCTATGGCCCCAAACCTTGCCTCAAGGACTAAGACATACATTCCTGCTGCTGCTGCCTTCCTGACAGACAAGCCTTCCAGATCCAGAGGTAGAAGGAAGGAAGCAGGGGGAAGCAACCCCAGGAAGAAAGTTTTAAAGTTCTTACTTGTTATGCCAATAAGAGTTGTGATGGCCAGATCTTGGAATAGAAACTGGTAATTTGAAAGGCTGTTTGTCTCCTGGAAACAAAAAGGAAAGCAGACTTTAAAAAAAGAAAGTGACAAGCTTACAGATGAAATTTAACAAGACTTGCATAAAGTGTCTCCTGACAACTTTAATTTTTCAAGCAGCTCACTGGGGACATGGCATGATCTTGGGTCTGTTTGGGTTGGTGAGTGGTAGTGGTAGGGAGTGAGGAGGGGGCTGGGGTTTCCCATTCTGTGAGACTCTTTCACTCCAGGAGAGCCTCCTATGTGTGCATCCCAGGTGAGCTCCCCTGCATCAGTCTATTGTTGTTGGGAACACCTGTTAGATCCATCTCTTCCCTTTTCTGCTGACTATCAGAAACATATGGGTGTGGCCCAGCACAATAAGCCAATGTGTCCCCTAATAATCATACATACCAGCTGTTTGGCGGCCCTACACAGTTTTCACTAAGGGAAAGTTAGAGTGACTGAATTCACAATGTGTATTTTGGGCATTGTTAGGTGAGATGCTACATGCTTGCAGAAGAGTGGCCAAGCCTCTGAGTTCAGGAATGTTGCTTCCCCAATCTCAGAGGTGTGGGAAGGAAATTATAGTGCTCCATATTGAATTATACTTTTGAGGTTAATGCCCTATTCCAAAATAATAAATAAAGCATTCTGAAATAGGATCGAATGCCTACAAGCAGCTTAGCCTCTAGATCCCTCATCAGAGCATCTGAAAACCTATCTGAAGACAATGAGACCAAGAGCTTGAACCTAGAAGAAAGCAGACACAAAGCGAAGAGGAGCCTGAATGACATGTCTGCAGGGACCGTCCCCTTCCTTGGAATTACTGTGCAGAGTGAGCTCACATACTGAATTCACAAACAATAGTGATGTCTCTTCTCCTTTTATATCTGTTAAATCATGAGAGCCACCACCTGATACACATATTTTTACATCACAATTTGCTGATTTTCAGATCTGTGTATTTAGGAATCAGAGCCATGCTAGCTTATTTACCCTTGAAGGTCAATTGCTGAGTTTTCATGAGTGTTAAACTCTAGTTGTTCAACACTTAAATCGAGCAAACATACCACTAAATTGAAGCTAGGGTGTATACAAAGCCTGTTTATTTTCCTCCATTTTTTTCTATTATCTATGCCCCTAGGGTATTTATAGCTCCCATGTCTAGGTGGTACATAAATGTCTGCTGCTATTGTATGTTTCTTCCCCATTCACATTCAGGTGTACCAAGTGGGTAGTTTGATATTTACACCCCTGAAATTGTAAAGATCAATATTTAAGGAAGCCTGCTGGGATGACTTAATATTGGTTTTCAATTTGACATACCTAGGAAAGGGAATCTCAACTGAAGAATTACCTACATCTGATTATCCTGTGGACCTGCTACAGTGGGATGTTTTCTTGATTATCAATTGATAGAGGAGGGCCCAATGTACTGTGGGCTGTGTCATCCCTGGGCAGGTGGGACTAGGCTATGTAAATAAAGAAGCTGAGCAAGCCAGGGGAAGGAAGCTAGTAAGCAGTGTTCCTCCATTGGTTTCTGCTTCCCACTCCTCCATTCAGTGATGGACAGTAACCTATAAGCCAAACAAACCCTTTCCTCCCCTAAGTTGCTTTTGGACCCTGTTTTATCCTGGTAATAGAGAATGAAGCTAGACCACCACCAGTTATTAAGCACTACTTTGTTATTAGAATCCACTCTATAATGAGTTGGCTTGGGAAAGCAGATACCTGATCAACACAGGCAAACACATCAGTGAGAGTAAACATGAAATTCAATTCTGTCCTTCAGTTACCACCCCATGACCTGTTTCTGCATCAGAAAGCTACAGCTATGTCCTTCATGTGTGTCTAGTTATGATTTATTTGTGGACACTTGAGGACACCTCTAGAAGGCCCATTGATGCACAAACACCCTATTTTCACTGAATGAACAACTACTTGCTTTAGCTCTCACTAAAGGAGGCTTAGTCCCATGTCATACCCAGTAGAGCAGCAGAACACCAACATACTGAATCATGCTGTACAGGGCCATGTACTTAAACATGCAAAAGGACGTAACGAGAGCTGCTCGGCCTTCCCTGTGTAAGAAAAGGAATGAAAGGGGTTGAGGAAAATGATGGAGAGAAATTAGGTGTTATTCTGTGCTTTTTCATCGAGGCTTAGAACAACAACAAAACAAATAGATAAGAAGCCAGGCATCTGGTTATATGATAGCTCATCTCAAACCCTGGACAGCCTTAAGTCACAGGGAGCTAAATGGCTATCTGTTCAGGAAAGGGCAGTTCCAGGCCGGTGTCTGCAGCCCTGGCCTAGAAATGGACTGGTTTACAGTTGCTTTTGTCCATTATGCATGGAATTGCCTCAGCTCCTGAACTCGGAGCCAGGAGACTGGGGAGCCAGTCTTAGACCTCACAGGCACATGCTAATGTGATTTGGAACATCAGTCTCCCATCTCAGTTTCTGCATCTGTGAACTAAGGGAAATAAATAAGGTCTGGGAAGCAGGTGCTTCAGGAATTTGGCAAATATTTGATCCAAACTTCACCTCAGTAATTCTAACTTTTCCTAAAACTGAACTAAAAATAATGTGCACACTCAAATCACCAGTGTTTCACATCTAAATAGACTGAGCACAATGGGCATGCTTTTTGTGCTGTTGTTGACTGGTGTTGAAAGAATTAACACACTCAAACAAAAAACATGGAATTTACCACCTCCTGCTGTTTCCTGCAGGGGTGGCAGTGGACTTGAATTTACTTCCGGTGCGTTCAAGACCTGATCCTTCACTACATCCTACTGCTGTCGTTAGCTCTGCCAAAGAATTAATTTCTTCCGGTTTCTCGGCTCCTCAAGACATTCTAAAGACGCCACTTCCTCTTCCCAGCCACGTTATGACCTCTTACATTACCCCAGTTTTTAATAGCAAACAGGAATCTCTGTAACTTGTCTTTGCTGATTGTCCTTAAATCCTGGCACTAAGTTCCCATTCAACAAGCCCTACTCAAGTGCATGGAGGACTATCTTAAAGAAAGCTAGCCAAGTCATTACATTAATACAGCAGAAAAAAAATATAATAGTGGATAAAACATATCATCTCCAGCCCTCTGTGGTCTCTGAGCACAGGCATATCAGTCATGTACTCTGACTCTTGGTTTCTTAATTTGCAAAAGAAATGTACCAGTCATGCCTCCATCTGCAGGCTAATTTTTAAGTATAATTGACTATCAAGTATATTTTAAATTATAAACACATGTTAGCTGTGATGACAAAAATTGGCCACAATGTGTTTCTATCATCCAAGCCAAATGTACCAGCATGACAAAGATAGGACCAAGACAAATTCAGTGGGAACATCAAAGAGTAAAAAGAATTTTAAAGCTGAGAAGGGTACCTCAAAGAAATACAAGAAGGCAGGAAACCAAGTGAATTTACCCAATCTCCCAGGACAAAGCATCTAAACTTAGTAATTTCTAATGCAATTCAAAGCAGTGACAACCCTTTTTTAAAAAAATGGTCCAACCATTGACTTTTACTGGAAATGGCACTGCTCTCTGGTTCCCCATGTTATTTATAATTCCTTTGAAGTCCACTAGGCAGGAGAACGCATTTCCACAGAAAGCACCTCTCAGCACACAGCTCTCCCGCTTCCCCAGAATAGTCTTATCTGCACCTGAAAGTCACAAGAGAGAACAAGACTGGGGTAAGTGATTACTTACTTGATGAGATGAGGCACGCATTCGATGTTTGGAGTTTTGGACGTGAAAGGTGAGGCTACTGATGCCTCCTGCTCTGACAGAGAGATGCCCACGTGAGCCATTTTCAAAGCCTGGAAGCAGAGTCAGTTTATTGTCTGTGTACACACACCTCTACAGAAGGTCACAAGGTAACCTGTGATATCCAACCAGATCCCCATCTAGGAAGGAGGTGGCCCTAAAGGAGGGGTCACTACTTAAGGAAAAGGGACCTCCAAACCAAGCTCCACCTTAGGTAGCATACAATAACCACTGAATATTTTGTGGCTTTGATCAAAGCCTTCCCAAGTCCTCAGTGTTGGTTTAATCTATCCATGGAAATAATAACCATCCCAAATATTTTCAAGAAGTTATGGTCACACACTGACAGCTACTTACTCCACAGTCATTGGCTCCATCACCACACATTCCCACAAAGTAGCTAAAAGAGAAACATGAATTGTAGAGGAAAGCAAAGTTAGTTTGTTCATAAAGCTAACTGCTCTAGTTAAAAAAAAAGTAACCATCATGTAACTAGGAAAAGCCATCCTGAGTGAGATAACCCAGACCCAGAAAGACAAATGTAATATGTACTCACTCATAAGTGCGTATTAGACACAAAGCAAAGGACAGGCTACAACCCCAGAGAAACTAGAGGACCCTAAGAGAGACAAACATGGACCTGCCTAGATAAGATCTCCTGAGTAAATTGGGAATATGGTGGGGGGCAGGGAGAGGGTGGGAGTGGAGAGGGTAGGAGGGAAGGAGAGTGGGGGATAATGTATAGCTCAATTTAAAAAAATGACAAAAAAAATTGATCATCCTTACTTAGGGTTTAAACATTTTACTGTAAGGAAGCTCCCCACTTTTGAGACTAGTCAAAGTAGTGTGTGACTGCGTGATCCACACAAAGGGTGGAGAAACCCTGCATGAACATCATGGGGCGTTCCAGTGTTTCACACAGACATTTCACTGATTAGACAACAGTTCTTCCCGCCCCCCCCACAAAAATGGTAGTGATCACAACTATGTGAAGTGACAACACAGTTGGGAAATCACAGGATTTTATCTAGAAACCAAGTCTGGAATTTTATCTCCTCGTTTGGCCATTTTTAACATCAAATGTTAAATTGGAAAGTGACCTGTAAAGTTGTAATCATAAGCACTAGTTGTTGGAAGAAAGGTACCCTGTCAGTGGCCACTGGGATGAGACAAGAAATGTCAGGCTCAGAAACTGACAAAAGAAAGCAGAGGTCTGTTTCAGCATGGCGTTTTGAGGTCAGATGAATACATCTGCCTAGAACTGTTGACTAAGGTTATAAATGGTTGGTTTCTTAGTTCAGGTTTTCACGGCATATGATGTACTGTATTTTTACAATGCTAAAAGGTAACTAGTTTATCCTGAAACCCTTCATGGTTTTTAACCACAGGAAAGCAGGGCTTTCTGGGTAGAGATGATTCCTGGAAGACTAAATCACATTGTTAGGAAGATGGAGTTAGAGGGGGAGTCATGTTGATATGGTCCACCATGAGGTTTCATTAGCAGGCAATAATTTGTTCAAGGGATAAACACTGGATACCCATTTCATCTGTAAATGGAGACTCTTAGTGTTGAAGCATCTTAATGATGTGATAGAATAGATACTTTAGCAAAGAAATATTTTAATACTGAGGGATTTGATGAACTCCTCTGTGTTATATTTGTGATGATAACTTATCAAAATAAAGGCTAAATTCTTGCTTTTTCTGAGAATTTTTATCTTTTCTGTCCCATTTCCTACCCTTTCATGACCCTATGTTCTCCTTCAACAGTTCCCAACTTCAAGTGCAATGATAGCTGGTGTGAGAAGTTTTGTAAAAACAATGTGTGGCAGCCCCATATAAGCCTGTAAGTCAGTAGCACTGGGAAGTATGGAGTCTCTGCTACTACTCTTTCTAAGTAGTAGTAGTTTCCCTCAGTGACTGTGATCTCCAGGGTAATAACCACTGTCCAAACACAACTACACAGCTCCCTGGGCCCCATCCATCCCTCATGACTGTCATGTTTCCATCACTTCACCATAGGCAAAGAACCTACTCCAATTTCTGAAATTCTTCCACTAGACTTGATTTTTGCCCTGGAGACATCCTTGCAAAGATGGTCCCATTGATCAGTATCTGGGGGAAAGAAAAGGGAAAACATTTTTATCATGGCAAGTCACACACAAGACAATTGAAAATAGAACATTAGCTGGTAATATCCATGAATAGGAAAGAAATTTGTTCCCAAGAAAATCCTTTTATTTATTTCATATTTTAAGGTCGACATTGAGACTTTTGTTATCAACTAAATTCAATGAAAACAATATATAAGTATTCATAAAAATAATTCCCTATGCAACTTAACCTAGCTGCATGGGGAATGTGACCCTGAAAAGTCTTGATCTTCATGGGAAATGGAAGCAATGGAATCTGAACAATCCCACAGAGAAATAGAGAAGGCAAGAACTGCTTCCCAGAAAATTGTTTCCAGCTATCAGAAAACCACCAGGTGGAGAGACAGAGACTAGCTATGTTCTATTCATGTCTCTGGACTTGACCAATTATGAAGATTAGCTGGTATCCCAAACTTAATGAGCCCTGAAACATGGATAGTTTGAAGGTAGACTATCCTGCACTGTTTCCCTTCTCCACACTTTAAATTCTTCTGTAGGACATCAACGTGTTCTTTGCTCTCTGCAGCTGTGAACTCAGTGCAGTGTTCAAAATCTATTTGTTTATAAATGAGTTACTTGCCCTTATTATAAATTTATTCTTTGTAAAAGAGCTTTAAGTTTGGCCCCCTCAGAACAGGAGTCATCTACCACAAACATGATGGCACTCTCCTTTCTTGCCCGCTTTCTGCCCCACCGATGGGTTCTCATTAAACATTAAATGCCCTAACCATGACAACATGGTGAGAGCTGTCCAAAGCCAGTCCTCCATGCTGCCACTTTAGTTCTAGGGCTGGTATAAAGTGGACTCCTCGTGCTTATCATTTTCAAGTCTAATAGGAAATAACAGTAACTTTGCAAAAATATTTCCCTCACTTGTGATGTGTATAAGCAACTAGTTGTATTTTATCTTTATTTTATTTACTTACTTGCATATTTCTTTTATTTTGGTTTATATTTTGAGACAGGCAGGGTTTCTTTGTATAGCACTGACTGCCCTGAACTCATTCGGTAGACCAGGTTGGCCTCGAAATCAGAGTCCACCTGACTCTGCCTCCCACATGCTAGACCACTACCATACTCTAGTTTCATTTTATCTATTTCAGATTTTGAAACTATCTGGGATGGTGCTATGTAAGTGCCATGTTCATCATCCTCACAGAAATGTCATTGCTTCCCTGAAACTGACCTTTGGCAACAAGCTGCTGAAATGTTGACTTATAACATGAAAGGATTTTCCATTTAGTGCAAAATGGTAAGTTCCTTCTCTGCCATTATCTGGGGCTTCTTCTCTGATGTTGATGTAGTTGTCCTGAAAGGCAAGGTGCAAATGTTTTATGTTCTCCCAATTGTTCAAATGGACCCCAAGCATATCTGACATAAAGGACTGAAGTTGCATGAGGGCCTCTCTCTCTCTCTCTCTCTTTCTCTCTCTCTCTCTCTTTCTCTCTCTCTCTCTCTGTCTCTCTCTCTCCTTCTCTCTCTCTCTCTCTCTCAGGCAGGGTTTCTCTGTGTGACAGCCCTGGCCATCCTGGAACTCACTTTGTAGACCAGGCTGGCCTCTAATCCACAGACAACCACCTGCCTCTGTGTTCTTAGTGCTGGGATTAAAGGTGTGCACCACCACTTCCCAACTAGGGCCTCACTTTAAAAATCTCACTCCATGCTGATCCCTCAGAGAACTACTGCCCTTTGCTGGACTGATCTTCACACACCACAGCCACTGGTAGATAAGAGAATAGCACTTACTCATGTCCTGTTCTCATAATAATGTGATCTCTGAGAGTCCCAGAGATGAGTGCACTTCACACATTTGGAGTGTCAAATACAAAAGCCCTACAACTTAACAACTGTCTCCTTGAAGTGAGAACTTGTTGGGGGATTTTTTTCCTAACAGAATTAATATTGCTCCATAAGGACACAATGGAAATAGAATACTAACAAGACTGGAGATGAATGAACATTTTTTTTCTCTACCCTGAAGACATAGTCTGATTATCCATTGTACACAACAGGTCTCACCAAGGGACTAAGTCACCTTTGGACCCAATGGAGTGGCTGACAAGCAAAGGAAAGTGTGGGAAGTTAAACTCACTGATCTGCTTACTATGCTCTTTCTAATAAAAGGGTTTTTTTGAGAGTAACAGAATTATTACTTTCATAAGTCAAGAAACCCTGTACTTTAGAATACAGTGGGAAGAGTGTGGAAAACTGGCATAATTGGGTTCATATTTGCAGAAGTTGTCTCAAAAACCTGAGCTAGTCACAACTATTACCACTACTGTGTGGCAAGTCAGATACCGGATTCCCAAATGGAATATGTTTCTTCTCTTCTACTAGTTTCCAAGAGACAGACGCTGATGGAGAACCAGTGGTTTCATTTGCCTCCACAAGAATGACTTTCTGGCCTTCAGAAACCATCCCAGACTTTCTGGCCACTGCTATTGCAGTCTGAAGATTGTCACCTAGAATAAAGAAGGAGCATCCAAAGATGATGAAGAGACCACACCAACACACACAGGACTTGGAGAGCTAGCCTAAGGGTCCGTGTCTTCCATTAGGTATGAAGCTAATTACCAAGGTGTTTCCCAGCCTGACCTGGGATTCCATAACCCCTTTTCTGGTTCTGGCTGCTTTTCATCATGTTACTTCATAACTAACCAACATGTTTTTGTCAGCAAGCAGAAAGGAAAACCTGTAAGAAAAATGTATCCCTGCTAAATGTGACAATCTTTATAAAAGTGTAGGAAATCTTTTGGTTTAATCATATCTGGTGGACTCCAATAAGTCATTTTGTGCATTAGAGTTAGATCTTGGACCTGCTGCCAGTGGCCTCATATATTGTCCCAGCAGCACTGTTGTCACCTATATTAAGGGAATCTAGTTTGTTCTTATGCAGGTTCCCCATTTGTCAGACCTGAGTCAGTGATCTCTCACTAGCTCGGGTCAGCTGATTCTGTGGGTTTCCCCATCATGGTCTTAACTCCTTTGTTCATATTATGACTCCTTCCTTACTTCAATTGTACTCCACAGGCTTGGCCCAATGGTTAGAACAATAAGTAAACTTAAAAGAAGTTATTATAAGCATCTTTTATATGGTTAAGGTGAACATTTATAAACCAAATGGAAATATTCAACTAATTAATATGTATGCTTAAAATGGATAATTTAGAAATGAATATATAACACTTGAGGTTTTTTTACTTACTAGATCTGTTTAATACACTGGATGCATTCAATAGATAAAGAGTCATTACATATTGGAAAACAGAGAGCACTTTTTTAAGTGAACAGAGGCTTGAGTTATTAAAAGGACTTGCATTCTTTTTAGTAGAGACCTATGAGAGGATACAAAGATTGAAATGTGTGTGTGTGTGTGTGTGTGTGTGTGTGTAAATAATAGAAGAAAACTCCGCACAGATTGTAAGGCACTTACATTTTAAATTCAAAATGCTCAGAGAACTAAATTCTGTGAGAACTACAACCAGATATATGATAGCCACACAGCTGGAAATGAAACATAAAATTAAAAGACTGTCAGAGAAAAATTGTGCCATTGTACACAAGAGAATGATGCTTGAGATGACCATGGATTTACCATAAATATCAGGAAGACCTACTGAGTGGGATGAATAGCCCAGGCATGGCTGGGAAACTGCAGAATCTGTAGTGATCTATAGAGCATAGCAGCTAGATAGGGAAAGATGCAGCAGAGCATATGACTGGCAAGATAAACCAGCTGCCAGAGACAGATGAAGAAGGTGTCCCGAAGACTAAAAGCACCTGGGGAACTCAAATACTGTCCCAGGTGAGGCCTAGAGCCAGGTATACAGCCACACCCACATTAAGACACAATGAAGCACTTCTCAACTCAACCAGTGATTTGGAGGAGGTAATGATAGTTGCTCATTATTGAGTACTATATTGTGATTTGGAGAGAGTAAGGGACTCTATCATCAAACTTGAAAGAAGAGAGAAAAATTATAAAACTAGAGCAATTGTAAGAAAATCAGTAAAAAGACAGGAGACTTTCACAGACCTGTAATGACCTGTCATGTAAATAAATAAATAAATAAATAAATAAATAAATAAATAAATAAAATAGAAATTCTAGAATAAAAATATAATGAAGATAGAACAAAGGCAATAATTAAATGAACAATAGCGAATATTTTCTTCATAGGAAGAAAAGCATATTAAAAGTGATATATTTCAGACTAAATTTATTAAAAAGGGTGAAAGAAAAAATGAGAATACCCACTAATATTTCTGAACTCCACACTTAAAAAAGAAATGCTATATGTATGTGAAGGTTGAGTTCCCTATATTGGATTGGCATTCTGCTTACAATGCTAAAACGTCAAAAACAGCATCCACTTACAAGCCATTGGTATAACAGAAGAGTCTGCCTTCATGAAGACAAAAGGAGATGTAAGGATTTGTCAGAAAACATGGTGTCCTCCATCCATCCAAAGCCAACAAAGAATAAATGAAAAATGAATTAAGAGCAGAATAGAATTTTCAACACAGGAAAAAGAGGCACCAAAGACCCAAGTGGAATGTGAACAGCTCTTATCCACACACTTCCAACGTGGCTAAAGATAAATTGTGAACATGTGTGTGTTAGCTAGTTTTATGTCAACAACACAAGCTAAAGTTATCTGGGAGGAGGGAACCTCAATTAAGAAAATACTTCTATAAGATCAAACTGTAGGCAAGCCTGTAGGGCATTTTCTTAAGTAGTGATTGATATAGGAGAGTCCAACCCACTGTGAGTGAGGCCACCCCTGGGTTGGTAGTCCTAGTTCTATAAGGAAACTGGCTCAGCAAGCCAAGATGAGTAAGCCAGTAAGCAGCACTCCTCCATGGCCTCTGCATCAGCTCCTGCCTCCAGGTTCCTGCTCTGTTTGAATTCCTGTCCTGACTTCCTTCAGTGATGAACTCATATGGAAGTATAAGCCAAATAAACACTCCTCCCACCAACTTGCTTTTGGGTCATGGCATTTCACCACAGAAATAAACCCTAACCAAGAGAAAGTGCAATGTAAATGCTAGTGATGTTCAAAATAGCAAGGGCTAGTAGATAATGAAATGTTTATGGTACCAAACACCCAAGGAAGGCCTGGGAGTCAAGCTGGAGTTAGAAAGGAAGAAAGCAAAGCACACACAGTGCTGTGGATTGTGGGGTCAATCAGGAATGGGTAAGTACTGAGCAAAGCAAAAGGAGTCCAGAGTCTCCAGCTTTAGGCTGGGGCTCAGGGGGTGTGCTAGGGAGTGAAAACTTTGAAGAGGATGAATGTCAGTGACAGCAGAAGAAGGAAATACCAATTAGGAAATCAGTTTTTCACCTATAATATATCCCTTATTGAAAAGTTCAAGAGTGCTCATTAAGTGATATCATATATTTCCCTGGAGTGATATCTTCCTATTACCCCCTTGTTTATGAGACCTGAGGCTTAGCATCAGAGTTGAGATGACAGTGTGTTCTTTTCTACAGAATTAAAGATTCCATTACTGATGGGCTGTCAGCATAGTTTATAGACCACACTAAGATTCTCCTCCTCCGTATACTTGACAATAAAATCCATCATCTTTGCATGCCCTATATCTTCTTGTTATTCAGCTCTTATTTCAAAGGCCTTGCCACTCAGAAAATATCTAAAGTGATTTATGCAGAGTAGATGGCCAGATATATTTTACCAGACTGCTCTATCTGGATTTTTGTCGATTTTCTTATGTGTTTTTGTTGCTTGTATTGATTTTCTTTTGTTTCATTGTGTGTTGAGAGAGAGAGATACAGAAACAGAGACAGAGAATTTGCCTGCATGTTTGTACGTGCACGCCCAGTGCCTGTGGAGGCCAAAGGAGTCAGAACCTCTGAAGATGGGGTTAGCAATGGTTGTGAGCTGCCACGTGGGTGCTGGTAACTGAACCCTAGTTCAGTTGCTCCCAAGGACAACATGTACCCTAATTGCTGAGCCTCTTGGTGTGTGTTTGTTGTTTGCTTGGTTTTGTTTTGTTTTGTTTTGTTTTGTTTTTGTTTTATGGTTTTTTTGGTTTTTTGTTTTTTTTCTTTAGTCTCATTCTGTCACTCCATATAGACTGAAACTCACCATGTCAACACAGTTGGCCTCAAATTTGTCCTGCTTCAGATTCCCATGTAATAGGACTATATCTAAATGCCAGCCATCAGACCACCCCAGTTTGTATACCTCAAAACATTTGTTACACTACTTGACTAGTTGGCTTTCTTTGGCCTCACTGTGATAGGAGCTTGATGAGTAGCTTATCCCCTTTATTGCCAATGTCTGACACCTAGAGTAACACCTTGGCATTGGTGCAATATTTGCTAAGTGATTCAACCCCTGTGTGTTCCCCGGGTGCCCATGTTTTCACTTTGCTCTATACCTGTGATCATTACAGTCCGTATCCGGGCAGAGATGAGCTCTTCCAAGACAGGCTTTGTCTCTTCCTTCAATTGATTCTCTAAGATCAGTAATCCTAGAAATACGAGGTCTGATTCCACCTTCTCCCTGATTAAACAGACCACATGTGGCTTCCTTACCATAATGACATTAAGAAGACTGAGCTCCCCACTGGAATGACCTGGTTCCAGCACTGTTCCCCAGCCACAAACAACCATGACTGGGAACAAAGAGTCAGGATGCACATACAGCAGTTAGCCCAATTGAATCCAGAGGAAATACTTGTAAGACCAAAGTTTGGCTTTTGCCTTTTCAGAAAATTAGCTCATGACTGTTGGGGTCTCTGAGCTGGCTGAGCTGGCTCTCATATCCTCAACTATCAACCACAAAGGTGAGACAAAATCATGACAATTAAGTGAGAAACATGAAAAATAAAACCAAATGCCAGTTTCTCCAGCAACCAAGGCTGTACAGATATCATTCTATCCCTGTGAGGTGTGGTAGAAACCAGTGAATGGGCCCTTTACTAAAGCTAAGCCAAATCCTGGCTTCTTTCTCAGCCGGAAGCTCTGCTCTTCTGCATAGAATGTCCCCATACTTCAGGGAAGGCCAGCATGAGAGCATCTACAGGACTGTCCTACAGGAACAAGTATGAGGAATGCACTTGGGGAGATTTGAACAATCCCATGACTGTATTATTTCCCCACAGAAACAAGACCCCAGCGATGCCTAATTCATGCTGAAATCAAATGAAAACAGCACCCGCTAAAGCCTCCATGCCAAGCTTGCCCCGAATGTCTATCCTGGATAACAGCTAGGGACACAGTATTATTGGAGATGCTCCTGGAACCTTGTGAATCTGTCCACTAGGTGGCAGGAAGTGAAGAGTTTCAGCTCCTCACCTCAGGGCAGATCTGGGAGGGTAACATTCCCTAAAATACTGAGCATAGGTTTTAAGTCCCTATATGATCAGCTTCCAAGCTATAGTCCAACTTCATGCATCAATAACTTCTCCTGGCTCTAGCTGAACCACTGACCATGGATATGGTCTGTAGTTAATCATGTCTAGACTTTTGCTTCAGCCTATTGGAAATTTTCTCATTTTGTGGCAAACATTCATTTCCATGATCTGTCATAATCATCCTCCTCATGTCCTGAGTACCACCTCATGATGCCTGATTCTAACACTTCTCCAAAGAGAAACAGCTGGTTCTTTATTTATTCATTCAATTTCAGTATTGGCTTTTTTTTTTTTTTTTTATCTGCCTCTAATCCCGTAATAGGAGCCCACCTGAGTCAAGATTCTGTTCATTATTGCCCACGTGTTGCCCACGTCAGGAACTGTTCAGCAAATACCACCCACTCAGAAAACTTGGCTGCCTGTTTGTGGTCATGTTTGGTCACACACAAAAAATGAAGGTGAAATCATTTATTCTTTCTGCATTCTTCCTGGGCACTGAGACAGTGAATTAGGCCGGTCGGTGTCTTTTGAGGTGAGGACATGGAGCATCACTGCAGAGGTTGCAGGAGCTCCAGCCCTGAGATTGCACATACAACCAGGAGGAAAAGGTTAACCTTTTATATGCAATGTGGGGAATCGTATCACAGCAGGAACAAGAGTCAGAGGTCTGTGGGGTCAGAGGACAGGACAGGCATTTCTGGGTATAGTGATTAGAGTCTTTCTGAACAAGATGTTTGAACTTCCCTTCAAGGATAACTGAACTGATACCTGATTAGAGTTTTACAGTCTTTCTTAGGCCACAGGGTTTAGATATTTGCAGAGATTATGTGACATGAGTCAATAATAAATTACCACATAAGGTCAAGAAAGTGGCTGCAAGGCCAAACACCTTAGGCCATCTTAGAACTCCTTGTTTCTAGCTCCTGTGGCCTATGGCCAGTGTAGAGCTCAGTGAATGATAAGATCAGAACACAACTATTCCAACCTCAGCCCACCACTGCCTTGCTGTGTGACCTTGAATGACCTGCTTTCCCTGTGTGGTTCTCTAGTACATCTCCAGCTCTCCAAAGCTTCTGCTATTTCCAATATCTGATCCCTTCACTCTTCTTCAGGAGTGTTAAATCTGAGCCAGGAAGTGAAATGACGTATCGCATTGTACCTCCTGTAGCACCTACACTAATAAAGAATGGTGGGTGTAATATAGACAGCAGTCAGTCCTGAAATCAACCTCATGTTTTTAAAACCCACATGACCTTTAAAAGAAGAAGTATGCATAAAGCAGATCAAAACCCTCAATAAGATCTTTATATCAATGTTAGAAGCATTGTAAGTACACACACAGAGGTGCACATGCACATACACACACACACACACACACACACACACACGCACATGTGTGCTCGCACGTGTGCGTGTGTGTGCGCGCGCGCATACATGCTTGTTCTGTCCTTGTCAGAGATAAGCAAAGGATAGAGGAGTTTAGCTACAGATACCCATGGTGATTATGGAGCTAAGTAGATAACCTAAGACGAGAGCCTATTTATCAATTTGTGTAGGCCTTACTAGATTTTGCAAGAATTTAAAATTCAATAACTTTTGTTTGTTTGTTTGTTTTTGAGACAGGGTTTCTCTGTGTAGCTTTGGAACCTGTCCTGAAACTACCTCTTGTAGACCAAGCTGTTCTCAAATTCAAAGAGATCTACCTACCTCTGCCTCTCAAATGCTGGGATTAAAGGTGTGCACCACCACTGCCCATGATAGAGTTCGACTTTTAAAAAGACAAGCACTCTGCTGTATACCACACTGTACCCAAGTGTGTGGTGTCCTCCACCATGAAGTGCTCATTACTGCTACCGTTCCCAAACCAGGAATTTACGGATTGTGAATGCTCGCACATCACACTGGGTAATAAGCAGAAGCAGAATGCATCTCATCATGCCCACCTCTGCACCAGCCTCCCCAACCCGAGGTTTCTCTATTCTCAAGGTTCACTTCCAATTCGACTGCAGTGACCTACAACTGAGTTGACCTTTCAGAGCTGAAATAGTCAACCTTCAGGGGTCTCACTAAGCTGATTAGGCAGGAGTGATCTAGTAACCCTCCAAAATCTAGCACCAATGACTATTCAGACAGCACTTTCTCTCTGGCCCTTACTTTACCCACTCCCAATGGCAGAGGATTTGTCACATGAGTCCTCAGGGGGAACAGAAGAAACACTAGGTGATATTGGGGAGGGAACCTTTGCAAGTGTGCAAGATTGGATGCAATGACAAACGCGCAAAGAACTGTCACTCATCCCTCACACCTTTTGGCTAATTTCCTGAATATTTGGGGACTTTTAAAGTCACCAGCAGTTTGTATTGTTTATATTACATCATTAATCTACTGTTAGTGAGCATACACACACTAGAAATGACATTGAAGGAAAAATAAATAGAATAACCCCACAAATGGCAGATAAACAATAACTGGAAGAGGTACTGTCATTGCTTAAGCCCATTTATCGACTAAGCATCTGTATGTTAATATATATACACCTCAAAACTTTCTCCAGTACAACCCCTTGGAAGGTTTTCCTATTTTTCTGTAAACATTGCCTACATTACATAAACCCAGCTGGCATTTATTTGTTTCAATCGCTATATATTTTGTGTCACAAAGTTTTCTCTTTTTTCTAAGCAAATGTGAAGTTTTGTTATTTCTAACCAATTTATATTCTATCAGGATCAGGGCCACAATTTCAAACGCTAAAACACTGCTTATGTCCATACAACTTTACACAAAGCCCTAAGGTCACCCTATGTTAGTCATTTTGTACAGCTGTTTCTCATACATTCTGCCAGTGTTAGCATCATTTTGTGATTTGGGCAGGGCAGGATGACTGTATCCCTGCTCATCGTTTTCAGAGACAATGCACAAAAGATGAGCATGGTGTTTTGCTGGGCCCTCCCCAGTGAGATGCACCTTCTTCAGAAAAAACCTCTCCTTTTACCTCATCAAGGCAGTAACGGGGCAGTCATTTTCCAGCTTCTTGTAAGCCAGAGCTATGACCCGGAAACCCTGTGTTGTGTAAATCTGAAGTTCACTAATAAAACTTGATGGTACTGTTTAAAAACAAATAAGAAAAAAAACAATATTAGTATGCAATGTTTACTTAGCCAGCACAGGTGAAGAAATTCTTCACAACAATCCAACTCTTACCCAAGACAACATACTTTTTAAAAGTTACTACATAAAGCCAGGTGGTGGTAGTTCATGGCTTTAGTCCCCTGCCCTTGGGAGGCAGAGGCAGGTGGATCTCTTTGAGTTTGAGGTGAGCCTGGTCTATTGAGTGAGTTCCAGGATAGCCAGAGCTACACAGAGAAACCCTGTCTTGGAAAATCAAAAGGGAAAAAAACAAGTTACATAAGCAAGACAGTGGAAAATTGTAACCATAACTGTATTATCAATGTGAACCTCTTAGGAGCCAGAAAGCTGAAACCCTAACACCGAGACAGGAACACTTGAAAAACAAGGAATAGGTAATGCATGGAATTCTTCATTCTCCAGTTTAAACAACAAATATTTGCTAAGGGTATAATACGGACAAACACTGCTCTACAGATATCTGTTTAGTTGGGTTAAAGGAGTATACTGATACTAAAACTAAAACCAAAAAGACCATTGCCATTATTGGCAATGCAACTGAATGCAGAGTGCACCTGGGTAGGAGGTGGCCAGATAAAGGAAGGCAATTGCTTTCTGGCTGAGAGACCCCAATATGCTCAGGCACGGGGGTCTGAAACCACTTGGAGGAAGCCTAAAATGTGAGGGATGAATGTACAATAGGGAGCTCAAATCATGGAAGATTTATCTATGATCTGAAAGGAATTTGAAAATCTGGTGGAGGCTGTGGAAAGCAATCAAGTGAAAAGATGCAAAAACCAAACAAAAAAAAAAAAAAAAAGTAGCAATGCTACTTAGGAATCAGGAATGACTCCTAAAACAGGAATTGGAAGATGGGCTGGGGATGGTCATTACCCAAGATGGGAAATTTGGAAGTGCAAAAGTGGAAATTTTAAGCTTGATTTAGGTATTGAGCTTGGAATGCCCATGAGTGATGAACAGCTGGCAACTGGATCTAGAGTGTTGTGCGGACAAGTTTGGCTGAAAACAAAAATTTGGCATTTGTATTCCATGTCCATTAACTAACCTGTGTCAGGTTGGCAAAAGCTGATCACTCTCTCCGGAGCACCTTTCATGAATGCCAGTCGGTCACCTCCCATCTCTTGGACAATGACTGTCATCCTCTGCAGTGCTGATGAGAATGGGAACTGATGCAGGATTGCAAGTCCTTCCGCTGGGACCTGCTTGATGGATGGGGAATGGAGAGGCACATACTGGCATAGCATCTAGCGATTGGGAATTAATTATTCCACCCTCGCTCCCTGCTTTACCAAATAGAGGGGAAATATAACACATTTTTTTCACATCATCAGTTTAAGACACATCTGTGAGCTTCCCAACACTGCCGGTCAGAGCACAGTTTCCCCCGTGTGGGTGCTATGGGAAGATTGGTATGCACGGCTTACCTGGCCAACTGTGTCTGTCGGCTTAACGACCGTGGTGTGTGCCAGCATTCCCTTGATGTGGAAACCATCCCCAGAAATAGTCATTTCCTGTTTCACAAATGAGATATTTCACTGTAGGTGTTTGTTTAGTCTTCATACATTGACAGTAAGTTTGCACCCTCCTCTTGCGAAGAACCCCCTCAACCATCGCAGTGTATTGATGGGCCTCCTGCTGCTGCTGGACTGGTGAAATCAGACTTATTCTACTCCAGAAAAACAAAGCAAGAGGTGCAAGGCAGTGGGAATGCTGGAACTTGAAGGACACGCACTTCTGAATTATTCATGCAATTTATCTGGCTTTCGCTGTTGGAATTGCTGCATAAAGGTTCAGTCTGCTTCTCAAGACCTCAGCTTGGAAATGTTGAGTATGAATCACCGGGCTTATTTTGTGTGAAGCATGTACCTCACTCTTTCTTACCCTAAAATCACTGTTGATACTGAAGTTCCCTATCTGTCTAAAGTGGCCTGAGCAAGGCATATTTTTGCCCTATGCATGATGACTGCCTAGGAACCACTGTAATAATGACTCTAAATTATAGGCTAGGAAACCTTTTTACCTAAAGATATTAAAGTTCTTTGTAATCATCTAATTGGGTGGCTGACAAGAAACATCTCAGAAAGGAAACTGTAACCTCTACTTAGAGACACAGAATCAGTATTTCAGAGTGGATGAGAGACTGTAAAGCAACCACATCTGTTAGAAGAGGAAGACCCTCCAGAGACATCCCTCCCAGAGACACTCATACGGCCCCCAGGGCCCAGGCTGCATACAATAGCAGGGAGAGAGCTTAGCTGTGGCAAAGAAGCTAAAGCCACGCTGTCTCCTCCTCCCTGCTTTGCCTACAGCCACAGCAACTCCGGAGACAGGCTATTCCAGAATAGAGTTCCCTTTGACTGGTTAACACTCTGTATTTTAATATGGATATTACTTGTCTGCTTCCATCCCTCCATGCCACAGCCATTAGAACTAAGGTCCTAACATGCAAGAAGACTGCACAAGGTTGAACATCAGCTGGGGCAGAGCTGAAGCAAAAACAGACAGAATGAGATTCCTTACCCACAAAGCGTCTGCTCTTGGATCTACTTCAGAATCTCCAGTGAAACTCTGTAATGAATTTCTGTTCTCAGTCTTTGAAATCAGAGGAATAGTCAATAAATTGGAATAAAACTCTTGGTTGCCATGATTCTCCAACTTACCAAAGCACTGTGGAAAATAGTATTTCCTAACTCCCATGCACTGGGATGCATATTTTTCCTTTCATTTTTAGTGAGAAATGACAATTGTGTATATTTGTGGGATACAATGTGATACTTTGACCTATGTGTATACTGTAAATAGGTAGAAATCATGAAAATTAATATATTATTACCTCACCCCATTAACTCTGGAAAACTCTGAAACAAGCTTACAGAATGGGAGAATTAGAAAATAATTATGTAAGAATTATAATGGCATTATTGATAATTATTAAACTCACAGTAGGCACCAAATACTTTGGAACTTACAACTATACAGAGATTTTTATTGCACCTTCTCATTTAATCCCACAGAAAATTTACAATATACATGCTTCAGATCAGAAAGACAGGCTTAGACTAGTGTGCCTTTGCATAATACTGGAAACCCACATTTTTAAAGTATTAAACAGCTGTGATACAGTTTGTGTTGCGCCATCATTGAAGACGACATTTCCTGCGTTCTCTGAAGGTCAGACACTTACCCATTTGGTGGCTTCAAACATTTTCAGGTCCAGAGGGTCTCCTTGGATAGTCCCATCAAGAAGAATCAGAGAGTGGCAACTAGCCATGGCTGCACACAGTAGACCCTGGGGCAGAGCTTTGCCCGAGGCAAAGATGTGGACTGCCTGGAATCTGAAGAGAAGAGAGAAAAGGATTCAGTCCTGTGCCCTCATGACAAAAACAGGGCTTCTTGGAGGGCTTTGATTTGATGTGTACTGCTGTATTTCTCTCTAGTCTCCGCAGGGCAGCGGGTTATTACCCATCCTGCCCTCCAACTCTGTTCAGGAATACAGTAAAGGCTCAAGCTGCTCCATGCTCCTTTTCTGACTTCGTCTTACTTCATCCCAGACTTCCTTAATGCATGAGGGTGGAAAGAACAAGAAGTACTGAGGTCTACTGCCACCCCAGTGACTAGGTCACTTCTCTTCTGGTCATGGGCAGACTCCAGGTATGTTATGTGCACACCACTTTCAATCCTACAGGGCTGGGTATGTTCCCTATATCTGTCTCCTAGCATGTCAGATGCTTGGTCCACTGTAGACGTTTGATAAGCATATAAGTAAATGGATGAATGGGTTCGTTCTTGGAAAATTCACAAGTCATTCGGTGAAGAAGTGAACAGTAAAACCATTTTTGGAAAGGACCCATGCATCCCCTCTTCAATCCTGGCATCTTGTGTCTCTACTGCCTCTATTACCTTATCATTTCCCACAGAAAGTGACTTTGTCTAAAAACTCAATGGAAATAAAACTCATATGTTGCACATGAAATTCTCTCACTAACTGAAAGAGTAAGTCATTGAGTTCATCTTCAACCCTGGTAAAGGAATGCCCCCCTTTAGCCTTGTTGGGAAGCCCCTTCTCAAATGTAGCACAGTATTTATGTTGTGGTGTTATGGGTCAGGGGTGAGGGGTGGGAGTCACATCACAGACTATCTGAATGACAGTAGTTTCTTCCTATGAAGAGGCAGATCTGCTTCTTCAAGTCAGTCAGAATCTACTTGCCCTCACTCCTCTTGTGTTAGCATCTTTTAGATTTTGAACTAGCTCTGTAGCCCAGAAGGCCTTAAGGCTACAATCTCCCTGCCTCCTCAATAGCTAAAGTTACAAGCCTGTACCACTGTGCCCAGCCTAAAAAATATCCTTTACAGCTTTATGTCATCTACATAATGTAAAAACACTACAATCACAAATTAGACTTGATACACTTGAAAAGGAAAAAAAGGACACAAAGTTGGGTGGGTAAAGAAGGGAATGTAAGTCAGGGAGTTGGGTAAGATACAAAATACACTATGACATTATTAAAGGATGAATTAAAATATTTAATTACAAAGAGGACTACAATCAACCATGTGTGCATGGAATACTCTGTGGCTCAAGTTTGAAGAAATATTTTCACTTTCAAACCATCATGCACCACGTGCACCATACTTCTAGTTCTGACAACATTGGAGGTGGCCCTGGGGGAGATCAGCAGACAGGGAAGCAAACTCAGGGTAGCCACAAGAAGGTTAGTTTTGCATATCTCTAAGACAGCAAGTTGAAAACTGCCACGACTACAGGCCACTCCTAGCTTCCCACCCCCAACCCACAGACCCACAAACACAAAGGAATCCTTTGTCAATGATCAGATTCTGGCAGGCAGGGGTTGCGGTTCCCAAAATCAAGACTCTAAGAAACAGAGTACACTGGCTACTGTCCCATAGGCTGCTCCCTTCCTGGAAAGCTGAATACAGAGACAGTGTTGACTTTTCCTACTATGTCACCTCTGGAAGAACAGTGCCCTGTCTAGATCACCTACACTGGGCCAATGTCAAGCCTCCAGCAAATAGGCTTAAAGTAAAAGTTCATTTCAGAGAGTGTTTTCAAAGTCTCCCTTGCTACCTCAGTTTGTGACAGATAGGGCTGAGATGGACTTGAGGCTACTAAGGACATTTTAGAGAGATCTGGAAAATTCTAAGAGGAGAAATAAAAAGATCAGATTTCAATAATCATTGCTTATCAAAAGCCAGAGTTCAAGTGTCTACATTAGTATTCACAAGAGTAATGGTGAAACTCCGGGAAGAGGCAAACCATAGGAACCACAGTGTGGTTCACCCAGAGTACTTACCCATTCTGGTCACAGGGCACAACTCCCCAAGGATCCAAGCCGCCCCTTGTTAAAGTGCCTGTCTGAACAGGAACAAGTCTTTGAATTACATGGAAGATCTACTCACACAGTGGTGAAGGCAAATGCAGTACATTTTAATAGAGAGATATACATTAGAAAGATATTACAAACGTGGTCTTTAAGGGGGACTATAATATGGGTGTTGTGTAGTGGGTATCTAGAATCTAAAGAAGTTACAATGAATTTAAAAATGACAAGCTTGAACTGGCTCTAAACTTTTGTGTCCTCTGTGGTAAAATAAGCAGAGTATCTCCTTTTACACCAGGGGACTATGCCGAACATCTAATTGGAGAAGGAAGAGGAAAAAAAAAGGCCTTGGTAAAACTGTTAAAACAACAAAATGGATGGATCGCTATTTTTACTGCAGAAGCTAGGAGAATGTCATCAAAACTGAGTAATGGAGTTGAAATTTTACCTACAAAACACTGCTAAGACTTTGAAGAGAAGTCTAAAGAAATAGCCTACCATCTGATTTTTTTGTTTAAAAAAAAAAGTACATGATGATAATTTTCTCAGTGTAGTATAACAACCAAGCGCTCAGGATAAGTTGAAATACCTTCTATGTAAGTGGAAATGTTACAAAATCCCTCCAACACCAGAACCTTTATCTACAACATGATCATAATGACATGGAGTTGTCTTGAATATTAAGTGAAATAATAGGAAGTGATTGGTTTAATACCAAGCCCACAGTAAGAGTTAATAATAGTGATGAAAAACTCACAGTTACTGCTCATTGTTTTGTTCAAATTTACATTACAATTATCTCTTCCATTCTTGTTTCTTTTTTCAAACTCACAATATGACATCATAAGTAAACAGTTTTCCCTATGATGCTGCTCTGGTCATAGAATAGTACTGCATGGTGACATAAGCCATATGACCCTTCTGTTCTCAGTGTGACTTTCTGATTCACCACTAATCATAAAATACAGTTTTCAGTCAGGTGTTGGTGGCACACCCCTACAATCCCAGCACTTGAGAGGCAGAGACAGGCAGATATCTGTGAGTTCCAGGCCAGTCTGGTCTACAGAGTGAGTTCCAGGACAGGCTCCAAAGCAATAAAAAAAAACCCTGCCTCAAAAAAACAAAAGGAAAATAAAATAAAATACAATTTTCATGGCATCAATGCTCTTGGTCTTCTATGTACTGTTTGAAGGATACAGAATTTCCATATGGGAAAATGAAGACATTTCTCAAGATGGATGATGGTGATGGTCACAGAACAGTCAAAATATGCCTAGTGGTCATGCACTAAGTACTTCAAATGATTGACATGGAAAATTTTATCTTATATTTACTTCATCCAAATAATTATTAACTAAAAGGAACAGAATGCAACAAAGAGCTCCAATGAATCCTGTAGCTTAAAGAAACATAAAATGTATTGACTACACATTTGTGGCTCACAAATACCCTCCTCTAATACTAGCATCCTGCTCAAGTCCAGACCATACTGTCTTGCGCTGTCCTACCATCATGCTTTGGTTCTCCTTAATATGCTGCCATTGTTCCCATCCAGTCCTCTGATAGCCTACTTTTTTATTCCAAACTTACTGTATATAACACAAACAAACAACCTTAAGAAAGAGTGAAATGACAGGCTGCTTGGGAGAAAATGGCAGACAATCCAAGAGTTAACTTTAAGCATAAACTAAACCTGGCTATATTGTCAGCAAAAGTCTCCTATTAACACACAGTTTTATAAGCCCTTTCTTTTTTTCCTCATTCCATAATTCAATAAATGTTTGACTCTCTTGCCAAGCAATTTTCTAAGCATTGGAAACATAATTAACTACTGAAGTGTATGTGTGTGTGTGTTACACACACACACACAGGAGTGTGTGAGGATTTTGACTACATGGAACAGTATATTTTGATACTGTTTTTCATAGACTCTCACAACTGAAAGGACCCTAAAAAGATTCATTGATTCAGTTTTTGCTCCCTCTTTTCAAAAGCTCAGGGTCAGAAAATTCACTTCCCAGGTCACACATACGACCAGAGATAAAATAAGGTCAGATGCCTATAATCTACCTATTAAGTCTGTCTCACTAAAGAAAAGCATGCATCCATTACAATGGTAGTGATAAATAGTCCTGGGAGTGAGGATGAATGACACATACCTTGTCAAAGCAGACAAGGTTTAATTGCCCACATACATTAATCCTCTGGGGGCTAATGCAGAATATGCCCTTCTTTCTCAACCTCCTCTGGGCATAGATGATGCCTGTGGTCAAGGCTGCAGGGAGGGCAGGAGGCACTGCAATGGTGATAACATCCAATGCCTTCCTCACTACCTCCTCAGGAGGTTCCTGGAAAAGAAAGAGTGTCCACTCATTAGAACTAAGTCAGTAATGGACTGCTCTGGGTGTGTGGGTGACTTCCCCTTCTCTTCTTATTCTGAGAAATGACATCAATGGGGCAAAGGGTCTGACCATGTTTATGGCTCTCAATATCTTGTCTCCACAGTACAGCAAGAACACCTGGAAACATCCTGCTGTGGCCAATGATGCACCAGTTCACTGTAGCTCTGCCAACACCGAGCATCTGGTCCCATTTAGAGTGATTCACATGATAGCTATAAAATGCTACCTTTATGAAACATTTCGCTTTTTAATCTCAATATGGAAGTAGTGTAAAGAATGGGCAAACATGCCAGGACAGAATCGTGCTGACATTTCAGTAAACAAACTGTTCCTGTACTATCCCACAGGATCTGACTGCTATCACGGAACTGAGAAAGCAATGGCTCAGCTAGATGGAGCTGGGTGCCTGTAAGCAGGCTCTGGAGTCTAGCTCCTTCTAATTCTGTTCGCAAACAATGTCATTGAGGAAGGTTAACATATATAAATAAGGTCAACATAGAGAAATAAAACTGTAGAATATCGTGTGTGTGTGTGTGTGTGTGTGTGTGTGTGAACACAAAGGCAGCTTACCCCACTGAGCACATAGACACACAGAGTATAAATCATGCCAATGGTGGCTGTCCCTATAAGGCACAGGAGGAACCGGATGGCATCCCTGTAGAGCTTGAAATTCATAGGCTTGGGGTAAAGGATGGACCTCACGAGGTCCCCCTTTGCAGTGTTGAACCCTGAAATGACAAACATGTCCCACATTTTCAGGATAACAAATCATTCTTCTGGTGATCTTCTAAACATCTGCATGGCCTTGGTTTTTCTTTAGAGCAGTGTTTCCCAACAGGTGGGCCTCGACCCCTTCTGTCTCCAAATATATTTACATTATGATTTGGAACAAAATTAGTTATGAGGTAGCAACAAAAAAGTTATGGTTGGGGGTCATCTCAACTGTATTAGAAGGTCACAGCACTAGGAAGGTTGACTATCTACACTGCTCTAGAGAATCTAAACCTGAAACCTAAACATCAAGACAACAGGTTTTTGTTGTCTATACAGTGCATAAAGCTAGAACAGAAATGCATTATCTTCCTCAGAGCCTTATCCTCTCTCTGACTTTCTCCCCATCTACTTCTAACTGCAGTGCATACCAGAGATGGGGCATGCCATACTCAGAGCTGAACACCCTCTGAGTAGGTGTGTGTGTGTGTGTGTGTGTGTGTGTGTGTGTGTGTGTGTGCGTGCACTCACACACACAGAGAGAGAGAGAGACACACACACGTCTCCCTCACTTGAATTAAAATGGAAAGGACTAGTAAATATTGACGCATCCACATTCTATATGTTTCTGATAGCTTTCACTGCTAAATTTTGAGTTTCTAGCTTCCTATGTGAAATGAACTTGGGATTCTGGTTTAAGATGCTGGGTTTCTGGTCCAGCTATTTCAGTTACCAGTTTACCAATCTCTAACTGTCCACTTGACTTGTATAGCTTCAGACTGTTCGTGTACACATTGAGGAGGGGGAAGGCATATTCATCTTTGCTGCTGGCTTGATGGACAGAAAGAGCTTATAAACCACAAAGCACATAAACAATGATAATTGCAATCTGTGCCTCTATGATACCACTAAGATGCATTTGCCACCCTTCAATCATCAAGTCGGAATTTAAAATACGCAGACTTACATGTATTTGTTGTGCTATCCAAAGATTGGTCCCAACCTAATAAATTTAAGGTATTAGACATGCTGAACAGAAAGGTGTCATTGCAAATAGCCTACAGCGAAGATGCTCACCGGTCTGCATGACCACTGCTCTTACAGTCCCAGAGCAAGCTGCCCTGGCCTGGATGACCTCAGTTCCACAGAAGAGAACATGCTTCCTGGGATCTGCTTCTGTTTGCATCTTCCAGGGTGCAGAGCTGGCCATCTGGGATAATGGGGTTTTAGTAACAGGGATGCTTTCTCCTGTAAGAAACAAGTACCTAACTCACTTTGTGAGGTGCAATGCAGTCCTCATGTAAATCACACCTACACTCTCTCATGTGGCACAGAGCTTTATCAGGAGCCTACAATGGAGCAAAACAGCCTAGGGATGAAGGATACAGGACAAGCATGGGTCATGTTGTTGAGAGTTCTGTGCTTTAGAAAAAGAGAGTAGTATGTAACCAAGTAAGTAAAATGTCATATTATAAATACTGTATGTACTTTAAGTTAAACATAAGCATTCAAACAGGTTGGGGAAAGGCATTTATGGAAGAGCAGCCTGTGTGGTATAGAATGTGGGGTGCAGGGAGTGTGAAGCCATAAGGCCTATGCTGACCTCAAATACAGAGAACCCCAAGGATGACACAGGTAAGTGTTTAACTTTTTCTGTAGGCCCTGGCATCAGGAAGCAGGGATATGGTTAACTGCTTTAGTTCGTAGAGTATTGTTTCAATGACTTGTAAGATAAAATAATCTACCCACAATACAAGGGATGAGCTAAAGTCTTATGGAATTGGTGGGTGGACAGTCAGCTGGGAAGTTATCATAAAAGTCACAGCTGGAGGGGATAAAGCCTGAAATACAGCATGTAGAGTGGAAATGGAAAGGAAGTCCTCTATTAAAGAAATATGAAGCAAGATGCTAGAAAACTCAGGGAAATTGTTTACATCATCAGGTCATAGAGTAGAAACAGAGAACTAAAATAGTTTCTTTACCTGCTTGGAGGCTGAACAGAGGGCAGGCAACAGTACCAGAAATTGCATTTGGGCTACTATGCAGTGGAGTTGCCTTTAGAAGAACCATGTTGAAAAGCCTGTGTACAGTTGATGATTATTTGGACCTGGCAGTCATTTGACACCTTGTCTCAGGATATTTAACTGGAGCTCTCCAGCTAGGACATGCTAAGTAAGGCTTCAGAGAGAGAGGGAGGGAGGCAGTGAGGGGGGAAGGGAGGGACAGGGAGAGGTAGAGAGGCAGGAGGAGAGGGACAGGGAGAGGGAATTTACTGAAGAATCAAGCAAAGGAGCCAGGCATTGGTAGCGCTTGCCTCTAATTTCAGCACTCGGGAGGCAGAGGCAGGCACATCTCTGTGAGTTCCAGGCCAGCCTGGTCTACAGAGTGAGTTCCAGGACAGACTCCAAAACAATACAGAGAAGCCATGTCTCAAAAAAGCAAAAAGAAAACAAACAAACAAACAGAAGCAAAGGGTGAGAAGAGAAAAGGACAAGAATATTGCCCTGAATCATGCCAGCAGTTAAGCAGACAGAGAATGAGAAGATAAAGAACAAGTTGAATGGGTGTGGTCGGTGCTGGGTGTGGTGGGTGCTAGAAGCACCTAGAGAGAGCAGGGTGTTAGAAAAAGTCAGGACGAGGAGAGTTTGTGGGAGAGATAGACAGAACAGTCAACAAGATGGAACAAAGAGTCATCGGCCATGGCACTTGTGACTTTGGTAAACTTGTGCCAGTGTGGGAGGAACACACTGTAGTGAGTTAGTGAGTACTAACATGGTTAAGTCTGAAGCCATGGAAGCAACCATGTACAGTTCTGAGGAAGAAGCCTTCAGAGGCTCCAACTGGTCCTTGTGGAGCAGGTAGTAAAAAGTCATCATGATTATGATCATTAAGAAAATAGTCCCGAATGCCTTGCTCAGCCTTGATGGGGGCAGGGGGAAACTGATCCATCTCGACTTAATGTGTCAGGCTTTATTGAAGCCCATGGGAGGCCTTACCCTTTCTGAGAAGTGGATGAGGAATGCTCTGGGAAGGGAGGGGGAGCAGGAGTAGGGGAGGGAGGGGGAATTATGGTTGGCATGTAAAATGAATAAAATATTTTAAATAAAATAGTCATGGGCATTTGGAAGGTCCAGAGTTGATGGGCTTTCATGAGTCTGTGGATACTTGGGAAATAAACCTAATCCACCATGACCATCACCCAGTTCATCTGTAAACTCATACAGAAGGGATATGTGCATTCTTGCCTCTATTTATTCTAGCCCTGCCTGGACTTTAGTGAGAACTACAATATAATACTGTGCTTCTACTGGTCTCAAATTCATCCCTAAAAAAGACATTCTCATCTCACAGAAATGTCATTATTGTGCTTCACAAGTACAAAATCACGATGATAACAAGCTTGAATGAGTCTCTTCTCTCTGTATCTCAGTTGCAGAGACTCAGTTGCAGGACCTCTAAGGTCCACCCCTCAGCTCAGCATACAAGTTAGAAATGAAATAAAGCCAGTCCAAAGCATACAGTGTCTATTCTGGGAGTAACAGATCTGCTCACAGATGCATCATGGACTTTTTAGCATTTTCAGTCAAGGTTATAAGGTCCTTGGCTTTGGCCTTGTGAATTTCAGGATTTCATTAATGGTTTCTAGAACTTGGGAGTTCATAAGGGAGATTTTATGCAAGTATACTAAAGAAAATACGTGATTTTAAAGATCTAATAATTCCCACAATCTTTTAATGTAAAATGAGATGTTGTTACAACCTTTTGTTGAAGAAGAAAATGCTACACATTCAGTAAGTTCTAAATGCCCTAAGTTGAGCACATAGAGAACAGTCTTGATTTCAGATCTCAGATATGACCACAGGAGGACTAAGCAAGAATTGCAGAAGCAGGAAGGTCACACAGCAGCCTCATAGCTTGCGGTAAGCAAGATTGTCCTCAGATAGAGGAAAAGACAGCCAGAACCATGATAACACACACCCTGAGCCAGCCCAATGGAGGATGCAAACGTGGAACTCTAGCCATACCTGTCAGCATGCCTTCATCTACCACACAGCTGCCATCAATCAGAATAGCATCACATGGCATTTGCACTCTGCTCCCTGTCAAAATTAATAAATCTCCGGGCACCAGGAGGCGGGATTCCAAGTCTTGGGCTCCAGCTGAAAGTGTGAGCAGACAGTCAGGTTATATGCTCACAGTAAGCAGACATGCTGCTCCATGTTGGAGATTCTTGGAGAAGCAACCAAAGCATGTAAAAGGAGAGGCCAGTCCTCAACATTAATTCAAACTCTGAAGACAAAAAGAAGGTGGAAACAGACTGCGTGAAATAAAATCCTCAGAGAAGCAATGATGAAAAAAAAAAAAAAAAAAAAAAAACCCAAAAAAACAAAAAACAAATTCAGAAAACATGTAATAAATTGCCAGACACCAACAATTCACACACATGCAAAAGTTCCAGGTTCAATATTTAAAAAGCTGCTTGTTTTATTCATTTCTTTCTTCTTTCCTCCCTTTTTTTGCTGGTGACCTGCCTAGATACCCTAACTTCTCTCTTCCCTTATTCACCCTCAAAAAGGCCAGAGGGGTAAAGTGTCATCTTCACACAATCTGGAATCATCTGGGGAGAAGATATTAAGTTACCCAGTGGGAAGGGTAGCTCCATATGGGTAGCTTCACTGTGGTGGTTAGCATGAGATGCTCCCCATATTCTCAGACATTGAATGTGTGGTCATCAGTAGGTGGCCCTGTTGGGGAGGCTTATGGGGTGTGGCCTCACTAGGGGAAGCATGCCATTAGTGGTTTCAAGAGCTTACCAACTTGGTGCTGCTTTGAGTTTATTCTCTCCACTTTCTGTTTGCAGGTAGAAACTGAAGTTCTCAGCTGTTCCTGTCACCATGTCAACCTGCTGCCACACTCTCCTACCACAATGGTGATAGACTCTTAACCTTCTGGAACTTTAAGCCCAAATAAACCCTCCCTTCTCTAAGGTGCCTTGGTCATGGTAATTGTATCACAGCAATAGAAAAGTAACTAACACACCCCACCTTGGATGTGGGTGGCAACATTTCATGAGCTGAGGCCTGAACTGCATCAAGTGTTAGCATTCATTAATTGACTGCTCTCCGCTCTAGACTATAGATGTAATGAGACTAGCAGCTTCATGCTCCTGCCTCCTTAACTTCTCCGTTGTGAAAATTGTATACTAGTTACTCTTCTGCTGCTGTGATAAAACACTGTGACCAAGGAAACTCATAGAAGTAATGTTTAATTTGGTGCTTATGGTTCCGGAGGGATAAAAGTTCATCACCATCATGGTGGGGATGCATGGCAGCAAGCAGATCTGATTGCTTGCTCACGTCTAGAGCCATAAGCAGGAAAGCCGAAAGAGCACACTGGGAGTGGCCCAAAGCCTTGAAACCTCAAAGCCCTCCCCAGTGGCACACCTTCTCCAAGACCACACTTCCTAATCCTTCCCAAACAGTTGCACCAACTGGGGACCCAGGATTCAAATATCTAAGGCTATGGGGGTCATTTTCATGCAAACCACCACAGACTGTAACCTAGAACTGTGGGCCAAATAAAAACCCTTTCTCCAATAAGTTTTTTTTCCCAGGGTACATTATGTCAGTGACAGGAAATGAATCTACGCATGTGGCTAGGAAGATGGCTTTCAGGTGACTGGTGGTGTTGGAGTCTAGGTGTGATAAAAGGTCATGTGTCATGTGCATGACCTTGACTCTGACCCACAGAACCCAAGTAGGCACCACACACCACAGCAGCGGTGCCCTGCTGTAGAACGGTGAGTCTGGGCAGGTGATGAAGGTGTTAACATGGGAGTGAGATTGTACATAGTGAAAGCATCAACAAGATGGGTCACAGCCAGGCAGAACACATACAGTAAGCAGATCTACTGAAGTCAGTGAGAGCCAGGTTCCTCAGAAGAACAAAAAGGAAGTTCAAGTACAGAGGACAAAGCCTTGAAAGTTTCCTATGACTTGGAGTTGGAGACACCACAAAGTAATGTGTAAATATGTAGGAATACCCACATATTTATGTGACCCTGGCCAATTTGTTAATATATACTCTAACATCCTTTTGAGAAAGCCTAAGGATAGTGATGCCCTAGTAAAGATAAGCACACTACACACACAAATATTGTTCTCAATTCCAGCCACAACCCCATACTCCCAAAATGAAATCATGAAACTTCTTAAAGAAAAGCTGATTACAATCTGACAAATATATAAGTTGAAGACACACTGTGCCATTAAATAGGAAAATGTTCAAACAATGAAGACCAATTAAAAAGATATCAAAGCCACATAAGGGGCTGCCTTTAAATCTGAAAAGACTTTAACAAAGTAAATAATAATAAAGAATAATAAAGCCATTGATTAAATAGGGCTTGATGAATCCATAATGGCATAGGTTAGTGGATATGTAAGTAAAAAGAAAAATGTATTTTTCCTTACAGCAAATTGTCAACTAAATAATTAAGAAGTTCAAATTAGAAAAACCTTATTTATCAAGTACAAAAGTAATAATTAAATCAAGAAACATCAGTAGATAATAAAATAGTGGGTGAAAATTTAATGTGGATACTCTGTATAGTCTTAAAATATTTCTCAACAAAATAAGTATTAATTATAAAGGGGGAAAACAGCAAACTTAAAAAAGAAAAGAACTGGCAGACACCATATAATTAAGTAACCTAACTTAACATCATTAGTAATAGAACAAATTTAAATTATGTACATCCTGATAAGAAGTAACACACACACACACACACACACACACACACAAACACACCATCGTATCTGTGATTCGCCAAATCCAAGCATAGTGACATTTTACAAAAATAACCAGAATGGGAGAATATGGGTCATAGAACAAGCAGTTAAAAAATACTAAAGATATATGGCAAATAACACCAATATATGTTCCTAGATCCTTTTCCTACAAAGAACATTGCCAAGAAAACAGGACAAAGACCAGACCATACATTGTTAGCATGTGTCAGTTAGCTTCCTGATGAAGCTTCAGTTTCTTCAGGAGAATGTCCTGGACTGTATAAAATGCACAATTGAAATTGTGGAGCCACATGTCCACATATCAGCAATTTATTCTCTTTTTTCTTTTGTGCCTATATATGTGTGTGATATGTGTACATGTGTGCATGCATGTGTATGTGGAGGTGTATGGATACATGTGCAAATGTGAACGTACAATCTCTAGGCTGATGTCAATTGTCACCCCCCATCACTTTTGACTGTTTTTTGAGGCAGGGTCTCTTGCTGAACCTAGAGCTGAGGATGCTCACTAGCTAGGTTGCCCCAGAGATTCCCTGCTTCTAACTCCATGAGCACCGGAATTTCAGGTATCTTCCACATGTGCCCAGCTTTTACATGGTTCTAAAGAACAGGACTTTCATCCTCACAGTTGCTTAGCATTTGCTACACTAACTGAGCCATGTTTATAATATCAGCAACTTATTTTTAAGTCATTCTGGAAATTAGAAATGATCTCCTCTTACAATTTTCCTGTACAAAAAAAGTAGGGAAGCAGATATGCATGAGATAATATTGCTTACTTCTACAATTAGAAAATCAAGTAATCTGCCAACATATTCTGTTGGCAAGAATGCGAGGAAATGGGCACTCACACATTTTTAATCTAAATGCAAACTGGCACTATCTCTCCTGAGTGAAATTTGGCAATATTTATCAAGCAAAGGCGTGTATTCCTTTATTCTCTAATCTAGAAATTTTGCCTCTCAAAATCTATACCAAAGACACGCTGATGAAGATATGAAAGCACTACATAGAAACTCTTTATTGAAGCATCACTTTTGGAGGTATAAGACTGAGAAAATACTCAACTAATGACTGAATGAATGAATAATGGTTCCTCCACATAAGAGGACTACAAATCATAAGGAATGAAGAATGTGTATACATCCTGCTCTAAAAGGTTCATGGAATCATAGGTATGTGAATAATAATTGAATTTGGTATACCTTTATTCATAAAATAATGGCAGTGTAATTATGTGATCTATTTTGCATGCATAATATAAGCTAATACTTTCTATATAATTTGCTTATATTTCTAAATTTAAGAAAAATTAAAAAGTAACAAAAGTGATTATGACAAAAACAAGGCAAAAGGGGAGGGAAAGAAGTTGAACTTGCCTGAATATCTTCTATCTTATGAATTTAAATTCTAAAACATAGAGATATTTTTAGAGCATCTATGTAAACTAAAAATAAATTTGAAAAGCTGACACTAAAAACCTAAAACAAATGAGTGAAATGAATCTATTACATTGTTGGCAGAACCATGAAAAGAGAGCTATTCTGAATGATGTTGAAGCATAATTGATTAAATAAAATTGTATATTTGGCTCTGTTTCTAATGAGCAATCACAATTGGGGTGGGGGACTATTGAAAACATTGTAAATTGTTTTTCAGAATGACTTCAATGCTGAGAATGTCAACTTACTGTTTTGAGACTATTGTATGCAGTAGAATAAAACAAATGGACCGTTCTTTGTTAGCACTGAGAACTGGAACTTTCAGTATAAAAGGAGAAGCACAAATAAAATCCCCAGAGTAAAACAGAATATTTATAGTTCTAAACTCAAACTGCATAAGTGTCATCAAGACCTCATACCTCACTTTATCTTAAATTCTTCCTAAGTATGTTTCTGGAAAATGCCTGTGAGCAAAGACTCACTTTGTAAAAATGAGATTCCCTAACACTCTGGCTGAGCACTCTCAGTAAATGGATGCTTGGAATAAGAAGAGAATGAACAAATATTTACTTTTGAAAATATTTATGGTAGCACCACAACTCTGAAATACTTAAGGCTAAATCTAAGAAAGAATGTGTGGAGTTCATACACTGACAACTGCAAACTATAGATGAGGGGAACCAAAGGAGACCTAAAGAAATCTACATCTATGCAGAAAATATCCAGATCTGTAAATATGTTAATTTTCTTCAGTTGACCTACAAATTCAACACAATACCAACCAAAATCTCATCACAGTTTAAAGAAATAAACAATTAAATAAATCATTTTGCAGGTCATTTTGAAAAGAAAATAGTCTGTATTTGTTACTGTGTCTTCTCAGTTTTACAACAAAATACTTGGCAATAATGAACTTAAGGGAGAAAGGGCTTACAGTTCAAGTGAATACAGTCCATCATGAGGAGAATGTCATGGTAGGAACCAGAGACAGCTGGTCACAGTGCATCCAGTCAGGAAGCAAAGAGATGGATACAGGTGTTCAGCTGGCTTTTCCTTTTTATTCAGCTCAGGACCTCAGCCCGTGGAATGGTGGCAGCTATGGTTAAGGTAAGCAGCCCACCTCAATTAACTTAATGAAGATAAACTTTCATGGACATGCTCAAACACTGAACTAACTGAGATAATCCCTCCCCCCAGACTTGACTCCTGGGTGGCTTTATATCTTGTTGAGTTGACATCAATGACTGTCACAAACCATCTCTTATGAACTTGTTGCTCAAACACATCATTTTATATCAGCACTCCATTCATTACTTGGAAGTTTTCTTTTCAGTTCATAATGTGATATACATTCAATCTGTCTCTAAAAGTCCCCAAATCTTTAGCCATTCCAACACTATTTGAAAGCCCAAAGTCCAAGTCTTACCTATAAATTAAGATCAACCCTTAATTTATGTTTTAAAGGTTCACATTTTTAGCTACAAGTCACACACTTTTAACATACAATGTCACACCATAAAGCAGTGGGTTCTCAGCCTTCCTAATTCTATTATCCCTTAATACAGTTCCTCATGTTGTGGTGACCCACAACTGTAAAATTATCTCATTGCTACTTCATAACTATAATTTTCCTACTGTTATAAATTGCAATGTAAATACCTGATATTCATAATATCTGATATGTGATCCCTGTGAAAGGGTCATTCAACTCCCAGAGGGGTCATGACCCACAGGCTAAGAACCACCTGCTGTAAATTATCTAAATTCCAAAGAGAAGACGGCCTTGGGAAGGAATGCTGAAAGTAAAACATGATCTAAACCCCATAGGGCAGATATCAAATCTATGGCTCCATATCCATCTTATGGGCTCTGCGGTGCTTGAGTAACCCCACTCCTCCACTTCTGCTACAGCATGCATATCCACTTTCTTAGGCCAGCTCTGCTCCATGCCATCAGATATACAATTGTCCTACCATCCTGGAAACTTAGACTCCACAGATTCAATCAGTGCCCTCCTTGGGGGGGGGGAGGTCCTTGCAAGGACTCAGACCCTGTCACACATTTTCTAGCTACAGCAGCTCTCTAAAACCATGGACCATGACCATGGAGTCCATGACCCCTTCAACATTGCATCTTTCATGCCTCCAAAACCAATAATACATGGAAAGTGCTGCTAAACCCTTCAGCCAATTTGAGATATAAACTGGTCTCTTTGGACCCCAGCTGTATTAGCTTCTATGTGAGGACCCTGGAGAAACCTTTCTTTAGGCAACTGATTTGCAGAAACAGTGATTCCTGTTAGGTATTTTCTCAGTTACATCTCTTTCCCTTCCAATAAGTTTGCACTTCACGTTTCAACCTTGGATGAATGGAGTCTTTCCATCAGAGTATGTTTCTTATTATATCAGTGTAGAACAAGATACTTCTCTTTAACAATTTCAGTCTTCTTTTCAGTATGTATTGTGGCTCCATAGTTTAATTTGGTCAAGCTCTTTCCTGCCCAACCAACTGCACATTTTTGCATTATTCTGCCCAAATTTCTTCTCCTCTTCACTGTAGACCTGGATAAGTACAGGAGAAGGTAGCCAAGAAACAGCCAATGAATACTCTCCTGTCAAGCAATATCCTCCACCTAACCAATTAGTCCATTATGTTTGAATCCATCTTCACTCAAGTTTTCCAAACATGGACAGAATGAAATAAGATTACTGGCCAAAACACCAATGGCCCCTGGTCCAATTCCTGATGAAGTCATTGTTCCTCTCTGAAACCTCATGAGCCAGGCAACCAATGTCTGTCTGTCAGTTTTTCTTTTCTAGGTTCCCATCAGAATGGCCCAGTATGCTCTGTTTCCAATGTACTAGGACTTTTCTACCTGAAAGTCCCAGACTCTTCCATATTCTATGCACAAAATAATGTCAACGACCAAAGACACACATGGTCACAATTATTAGAGCAACACCACTTCATGATGCCAATTTTCTGTATTAATTGTTTTTCTTCTTGTTGTGACAAAATACCTGACAATAAGCAACTAAAAGTGGGAGGATTTATTTCAGCTTACAGGATGAGGGGATACAGTCCAGCCATGAAAGAAGTCTGGCAGCTTGAGGCAGATGGCCATATTGCATCTAGTCAAGAAGGACAAAAAAGATGAATACTAGTGTTCAGTTTATTTTCCCCTTTTTCCTCAGTCTAGGGCCTCAGAGTCGTGCCACCCACTGTCAAAGTGAGTCATCTCACCTCAGTTAGCATAAGAAAGATAATTTTTCACAGACATGCTGACAGGCTAGCCTGATCTATACATTTACTCATAGGTAGTTGGGAGGTGGTAAGGTAGAGGCAGATTGATCTCTGTGAGTTTGAGGCTAGCCCGGTCTACAGAGCAAGTTCCAGGACAGGCTCCAAAGCTACAGAGAAACCCTGAGTTGAAAAAGAAAAAAAAATCATAGGTATATCCAGAAGCTTGTCTCCATGATGGTTGCAGATTGTTCCAAATTAACCCCAAGGAGGGTGTCTGATAAATCAAGTACCATAAAAAAAGAATAAAAGAGTGAAGCACTAACATTACTTACTCAGATCACATTATACATGACATTGTGTGACCCTGACAGATAATGAGAGAACAAAACAGTGTCCAGAAATTGGCCCACCTTCATAGAGAACAGACTCTTAGGAAAGGTACAAAGGCAACACATTAGTACAAAGTCAATCTTTTTAAGTAAATGGCATCAGAGTATTTAAATGCCTGATTGAGAAAGGTGAACTTCAGTCCGAAGCAGACACAAAGCAGAATGGCAAAAACGCAATATAGAACTAAATGTAAACAATATAGAATAATGTAAACTTAAAAGTATATAGAAAGCTCAGTGACCTTGGAATCTGCAAAGATGCCTTAGAAATTAGTCTAGAAGTATAATCCTTAAAGGAAAAAGCTCATTAACTGGACTTTAAGAAATGTAAAAGCATTTGCCCTTTGAAAGATGCTGTGAAGAAAATGAGAAGATACATCTTAGACTGAGCGGAGATGTCTGATAACAGGCTGGAAATTTAATATTAAGACAATCTTCTTAACAAAAGATACAAATGGATAGTTCAAAAGAGACATGGGAGTCACAAATAAGCCCTTGAAAAGATGTCCGGGGCCATTAGCTGAGGAAGAAACACAAATTAAAGCAATAAGACTTCCACAAATGAAAGTGGCTAAAATTGCATTGCTTGCCCACATTGAGCAGAGGCAAGAATGTGGAACAGAGACTGTCAAATGCAGCAAATGCTACAGCCATCTTGGAAAATAATTCATTATCTTCTTAAAATGTTGATTTTCTGTCACGGGGTTAGCTGCTCTGTAAGTAGGCACACACAAGGGTTGACAGAGCATGTTATGAAAGGGCCTATGCACACCTTCACAGCACCTAGGACTCTTCACAGCGCCATCTGTGGTTCATACGAGAAACCAATGCGATAGCCTGAATATCATCCACAGGTGAATTAAACAAATGAATACCCATCTAATGGGATACCTTAGGAAATAAAAAAGAATGTACTATTAATACTCTGCACAAAAGCAGATGAATCTTACATTGTGAACTTTGATCTCTTCTTGCTGAATTAACCTAGCTTATATTATAAAAGACAAAAGAATGCATCTTATATAACACCATTTATGTATAATTCTAAATAGAGATGTTAGCCTGTAGTGACAGAATACAGATAAACAACCACTTGTGTAAAGGGGAGGAAGGACATGTGGACTCAAGACAACTGTAGGTGATAAGTCCTCCTGTCAGCTAAGTATTTTTATGAGTAACTCATATGTGAAAATCTACTGAATTATGTACCTTCCAGATATATTTAGTTTCCCGTGCTAATTCAACCTCTATAGAGTGTGGTTCCTTCTTATGGTGAAAAGATCTCAGATTCCTCTTTCTTACAAGCAAATATATAAGAACAATACAAATGCAGATGACTTGCTAGGATCAATCAGAAGACCAAAGCCAAGTCACTTTCTGATTACCGGTGGATATAACATATAGGTATGAAATAGTGGAACTTACCTTTTCTCTCACATACAGAGACTGTTATGCTGTTGTGTGATTCAACAAGATGGTGCAATTTTACAGACTGCTGCAAAAAGAAGGAAAACAAAAAACATTTATCTGTTTAAATAGCCCCCCAGCTATTAAATACAGCCCACAGTATGGAGCTAGCCCTCTTTAAACATGGAAGGCTTTGGCCTGCCAGCTGGAAATCCTGGGTAGTCTTTCCACTGATGATTTTTTTTTTTGATAAATGAATTATATTGAGAATGAATAAAAAGAAAGAAACAAAAATAGATATATTTTATTCCACATGTAATAACAAAGCATTGGGTATAGCCCGGTGTTGATGGTACACACCTTTAATCCCAGCACTTGGGAAGCAGAAGAAGGCAGAACTCTGAGTTCGAAGCCAGCCTAATCTACAGAGCTAGTTCCAGGACAGACTCCAAAGCAATAAAAAGAAGCTCTGACCTTCTAAGTAGTTAAGTTTTCCAATGATTTCAGGTTTCCATTTTTTTATTCTATTATTATCATTTGAGACACTCCCTAAGAGAACAGGCTCATAAGGCTCCACCTCTCCCAGGAGGATTATGGTAAGTTAATGGCTGTTGGAAGAGAGGGTATTGTTTCTTCAGTGGTATAGTCACTGGTAAGCTAACCATGCTCCAGAAAATAACTCCAAATCCATGACTATGTAGGCAACCCTAATTGAAGCCAGTGGGTCACACATACACAACCATCAAAATAGGAAAGGGCCTTGTTGGAGGGAGGGTTTCAGTGGAATAGGGGACAGAATAACAGAAGGCAATGGGGAAGAGAAATTACAATGACCAAAATTACATATCTATAAAACTGTAATTGAATGTTTAAATGACAATCTCTGAATTACTTCTAAATGTAATAAATATGCCCTAAGAATATTAGTACAATAGGGTAAAGCCCCTTCATTCGTTTTTGCACTCACTCAACCAACATTAAGCAGCCTTTTATGTTCCTAAAGCTATGTTGAGAAAAAATATAAAGTGGAAAACAACAGAAATATGGCTCTTATTGTCAATAAAATTATTTAAAGATATATTAAATATATATTAATATATATTTAGTCATATAGACATATAGATAAAATGTTTACAAACAATAAGCTATACATACATACTTTTCAGTGTAATATAGTTTACTATAGTTATAAATAAAGTGTGTGATAGGGAAGTCCTACTGTATATATGTTTCTCTTATTGGTTAATTAATAAAACACTGTGTGGGTAGTAGCCAGGCAGGAAGGATAGGTAAAGCTGCCAGAGGACAAGAATTCTGGGAAGCGTAGGCAGAAAGGAGTCAACATGTGAACCTGGGAAGAGATGAAGGATGTCAGGCGTTCTCCAGTAAAATAAGACAATATAGAAATACATAGATTAGTAGTTATGGGTTAATAATTAAGACAGAGATAGTCAATAAGAAGCCCAATCCGCCGGCCAACAGTATTATAATTAATAAAATTATCTGAGTGTTTATTTGGGGCAAGGTTGTTGCCGAATCTGGTGGGAAAAAAACATATGTAATGATTCTCATTGCAGCTTTGCTATAGTAGCAAAAGACTAGAAACCACCGAGGAATCTATCAGTAGACAAAATAGTCAACACATAGTTATAAAACTACATCAGATATAAAGAAAATATCTGTGTCATTGTGGAATAATACTAAAGATATAATCAGTTACAATGCAATTGCAAAATAGTGCACATGGCACACTTTTATTTTTAAAAACATGAGTGTGTATGTGTGTGAGTGTGTGTGTGTGTGTGTATGTGCGCACGTACGCACACACATGAACACAACATTGGTAGAATGTAAAGAACATCTGGCCCCAGTAAGTCCTAAAAGTCCAGCCTGGACTGATAATTCTTCCAGTGGAAGGGATCCTAATTTCATTTACAGTGTTACTCTGCCTTAAAATTTTTTAACATGCCCATATATTATTTCTTGTACAAGAGAAAATGTCTAGCTAATTTTAAATGTTTTTATTTGATTTCAAATTACCTGTAGGCTTTGGGATTGCATTAGTGTTCTTAACAAAATGTATTTAGATAAAAGCATGAACAAAGAAATCATGTCAGCATGTAAAGTGTGGAAGTGTCCAGATCTGGAGAGTGGGTATAAAGAGTCAAGAGTTGTAGTAAAGGAAAGAAGGAAGCTACAGCAGCAACTGAAGGTGGTTGCAGAGTAAAGAGAAGATGTTTCTTTGTTGGAGTTTTGTGTTTAAGGTTGATGAAGCCTGAGAATGTTAAACATGGGACAGTGCACAGAGAAGAATCACCTGTGGGTTGTGTGTACACCCAAAAATGCAAAGGCAGGTGTCTGGGGTACAGGCAGATGATGATATCTTAGGCATTTCCTCCACTGTGGAGTGGGTGAATGGGAGACAGGGCTGAAGAGAATGGAAAATTGGCAACTGAGAGTAGGGACTTGAGCTAATTTCATACCAGGCTTTGCATCAGTTTGGTGAAATACCTAATGAGAGTATGTGCTGAGAAAGCAAAGATGAAAAGGCAGGTATCTCTGAAGATGGATGACTTGAAACCTATTCTCATAGTATGGGAGAACACTTTGATCAGAGATGTACAGACAGCTTGCCAGGAAGAGGTTGGTACTTATGGATTCCTATGTGATCAAGTTATCTATGCTATGTGGTTTTCTTCCAACAGCACCTAGGCACCCTGCTATAAGTGTAAGGAAACCCAAGGGGTGAACCAGATCTTTGTTAGGTGGACACCAAACAAACAAAAATATCAAAAAATTCATATTAACACAGGGTCCTCCATCTTCCAAAGGACTGGGAAGGGAAAGGTGTCACCCGCAGGACAGAAGCATTTGTGCTCTGTTCTCACAAACATGATCTTGTTTCACATGGGTGAGACAGTGAAGTCAACCACAGGACCAAGGGAAACTCACCTGTCTGAGATCATACACGGTCAAAGCTATGGAAATGACAGACATGAGGATGATGGCAAGAGCATATTCCTTGTAATCTTCACTGAACCACAAACAGACACTGAAGAGTTGAAAGATGTAAAACGGATTTAGAACCTGTTAGCAGACATAAAGACAGGAAGACAAGAAGGCATTTGGTTGGGCTTCACACATGGCTGTTCATTGGCTTGTTTTCATAATCAGCACTGTGATGTAAATCACCCCACACAATATGCTGTTCTTGTTGTTCTATTTAATCAGCAGTTTCCCTGTACTAGACCATGTGCTGAGCCACAGCACCTAAACCTTTTTTTCTTTCCCATAATTACCTCATTAACCAGAAGTTATTACTTATCTCTATTATGAAGATAAGGATAAGATCTTGAGAAATTTGCTCAAGGTCACACAGCTATGGCTGTCATGGAGCCAAAACCTAAACCCTTAAAGTGTTCGGAGTCCAGAGCACTTATTTTAATCACTGCTACACTCATCAATATACCGAGTTGTGCTTCACATGTCATTGTGCAATGCATCACAGTAACCGATGGAGAGTAGATGTTTTTGTCTCCTGTTTATACTTCCTGGACATCAGAAAGGTGACATAGTCATAGACTTCAGAAAGGTGACATACTCAGGTTTACGGAATTAAACTACATCGTCTGTTGCCCACCCTATGATGAAACAGTGCCACACAAAATGCCATTAAAGAGCTTCTATTGATGGATGAAAGCAAGATTGTACTTTTCCATAAGTGGGGAGCTAAGCAGATGTGGCAAGCTGTAACCACACATCTGGCTCACTGGTAAGGAACAGACATCAACATCAATGGTTGCAGTCCTGCTTTACTTAAAAAATATATTGTGTCTTTCCTCTGATTCACTGTAGTTACTCACAGCAACAAATTCCTGGCTTCTGGCGAGGGAGAAAGCTCACAGAACCTTTCCCAAACAATTTGCCTTGCCTTCTGTCATTCTCAAACATGTTTAGAAATATTGAGAAAGGATGTTGAATTTAGGAACCTTTTAAAGGCAAAGATGGAGATGGAATATCAGAAATATACAGAAGACTGCTATATGGTTTAAAAATAATAAATCCAACAATAAAAGCACAAGAGAACATTTTTATCTTAGTAAAGGATGCCCAAGCCATTCTTTCCCTCTCATGCATTCATTGAGATCAGTAGACCTTAGGAAAGCTAAACAAATATGGTTTTCTCCCTGCAGTTTTGAATGTTGAGGTAATTATATATGTTGTCTAACAAAATGATTTTTTCCTAAAATAAATATGATTTTAGCTTCACAGAATTGAAATGGGCTAAGCAGGGTAGCATTCATCTGAATCATCAAATAAGTAGTGGACATATGAGTGTCACAGCCTGCACTGTAGTGTACAGTGTGCACGTGACATGTCCAGAAAGCATGGTTGACATTATCTCAAAGCAGCTCATAATCACAGTCACATATTAACAAGCCGCATCTCCAGCTGGCCAGACCAAAGCTTCATCATTTTCTACCTAATGTCCAGGCAAAATACTGGGGAAATTACCTCCTTGATGAGCAGTTTCCAAATAGGTGTGATTTCAACATCAATAGCATTAGGCCCACATATTAACCTCCTACAGAGAGAAACCACAGATTACCCAGTCACAGCAATGAAAGAAAACTCACTCCCTGCACATTCAGGGAAAATGTCTATCCCATATTCTTTTTCCCACTTCTCAGGTCAATCCAAATGTATCTTGTTACTTAGCACACCCATATATCTCAAAGTAACTGGAGAGTATGAAGGGTCCCAGGAGTAAAACCAGAAAAACAGATCATATTCCTTCCATTGAACTACACTCCCTGAAGGCTAAATATTTCCCTAAATGGTACTTTTGATGTATAATACTACCTACTTTCTCTAAAATACTTCAGAACTCATATGTTCTCAACACCCCTCCCCCTGAGCCCTGCACTATGCCATGGAAATGGAATGGGGAGATCATGAATGTAGAATATTTTTAGTGGCAGGGGAATACTATTGTTTATTCTCATATTCAGGAGTTCAGTGAAGATCAATATTTGTTTTAATGTGCGCAGAAAAGTTCTTGATTCTCAGAAAAAGCTCAACATGCAGAACTGTACATCCCACTAAATGGCAATCCCAGACTTGTGACATTTTGATTATGCAGAGACCAGCCACTTTATGAATACTTTTCTTGTGGAGAATACTAACCATTCTCTGTGCCTTCCATTTAGACCCTGGGATAAAACAGCTTTGTAAAATGCATAGGCTATGGTCCTCCATTTTTATGTAAACATGGATAATTTGGGTAATCTCATTAAAACCAAGATTGCTTCAGTAGGGGTAAGGAGTGTGCTGCAATTCTGCATTGCTTACAAGCACACAGGTAATCGCAGGTAATACTGAGGCTGCAATCAGCTCCATCTCTTCCGAGCACCAGAAATAGGTCTATATCTCCTCTATCTCTACCCGTGAGTGTGTGTGTGTGTGTGTGTGTGTGTGTGTGTGTGTGTGTGTGTGTGTGCGTGTGTGTGTGTGTCCATCTTTTTAACCATGTGCAAGCCATGAAATCTCTCTGAGCCTCACACTGCACCATTGGGTTAGTTGTCCTACATGTTCTACCCCCGACACCATTTTTTAAAAAAAATGGTTTCTGTGATGACATATGAGGTCATGCATGGGACACACCTTTTCTGATATTGGTAAATCAAGACTATATACTGGGCTATCTGGCTAACCAATCACAGCCCTTTTGAGCTAGTAGAGACACAGTGCATGCAGTACCTTATCTCCTGTTCTTCTGATGTTAGCCCTAATCCAAATTTTTGATGTATCTGTGCAGAACTGAGCCAGTCTTCCAGGGAGCTAAAATAAATAAGTAAAAAGAGTAATTTGCAATAAAAAGTGATATTTGCAAGACAATGCCTGTCTTTTTTGGATACTCTCACTGAAGCAACTTACCCAATTTTTTGAAACTGCCCTTCTAAATTATTCCAGACATATCTTATTTTCTGCACTTTTATGTATCTCACCTACAAGAGGGGAAAAAAGTATTATAAGAATCTCAAGTTTGAAGATCAGGGCACGTACAGCAACTGGAGGGTTGAGGAGACATTTGTGGAAGAAGCAAAGGTAGACACAGAAATGGTTAAAATTTTTTCTTTCCTAACTCTCCATCCCCTTCTCCTCTGCTACACAAACAGCATTTTTATTAGAAGCCATCACCCACCTGGTCAGCATGTTTCAGCATACTGATAAATACATGAGTAATTGAAATGTAAACTCCCCATTTCACTTCCTTACAAACTAATAAGGAAAAAAACATACTAACAATATAAAAGTTACATTTTGTAGTCCGATATATATGCCAGAGAAACATCTGTAGTAAATATGTAATATAATAGTTATAATGGTGTAAAAAATGTTGCCTTTAAATACAGCATAAACACAGGTGGCTGAATGCATCATGGAAGAGATAACATCAGAACCAGGATGTTAAATGATGGGAAGAAGTTTGGTCTGAGGAAAACCAAAGAAGGTAGTGAACAGGCCTGGTTGCCTGCAGAACAAGGGTGTGGCCGGGGAGATAAACTAGGGCTTCATTATGAGAGGCCCAGATGCTAGAATGAGTCCCGGGCATCCTTGCCTTGCAGACAGTGGGTTTGTAGCGCAGCCTACAGAAGACTTGATGAAGAAGAGCAGGACGAATGCAAGGAAAGAGAAGAGCTCGTGCAGCCACGTGTGCTCTGGCTAGTAGGACTCTGAGGGTGTTGGCAGAGGCAAGGAAAAGAGATTCTTGCTTATGACCATTATTCTGATTTCCTTGAGCAATTTTTTTTTCCTATCATACTGAATCCAAGAACCAGAGACCTCAGTAAGCATGAGGAAAAACAGTGGGGCTCCTTGTTTGCTGTGGAGTGTTGGGTATCTCCCCAGGGTACTTCCTAGAATCATCTAGAGAGCTTTAAAGAATATTGCTGCTTGGTCCTGTGGCCAAGAGGTTTAATTTGTCCACAGTGTACTTTGAGCATAAATACTTTTAAATTTCCCCCAGTAATTATAATGTGCACCTGAAGTTGAGGAACACCATTCAAGGCTTCCTGCTTTGGCTGCTCCTCTATTTGTGTCCTTGAGAACTTCAGCTAACTTTCCCTGTGCCTCAGTTTCCCCAGAAACAAACCGAAGCATTTGACCAGATTATGTCTAAGTTCATTCAGCTCTTTTCTGTGTCTTCTACATTTATGAATATTGTAGTCAGCCACCAAGTAATTTTTTTTCATGTGCAGAGTTTTAGGCAGGAAAGGAGGGAGGGGGAAAGGGAGGGAGGAAGGGAGGGAGGAGGGAGAGAAGGAGGGAGAGAGGGGAGAGAGAAGGGAAGTGCAGAGCAGCCTTGAGGGAGGACAGAGAGAGAAAGAGAAGGGGGTACAAGAGAGGTAGAGAGCTAGAAAGAGAGGGGGCAGAGAGCCAGGGAGAGAGAGATGGATAGCACAAAGGCCTACCTGCTTCTTCAGAGGAATGGCAGCAAAGAGAAATTTTAAGGCTGGGAAAACCTCTAACTGGTGCATAATAAAGTATTCAACATATTTTTGTAAAATAAATGACTGCTATGTAAAAAGCACATGTCAACTAGAAAATACAGTTTAAATCTCTTAGTTCTAAAACCTTACTAAATCATAATTGTACTCAATGGTCATGTAGCGCTCTCTCTCTCCCTCTGTGTGTGTGTGTGTGTGTGTGTGTGTGTGTGTGTGTGTGTGTGTGTGTGTGTGTCTCACCAAGCAAAAGTGCTAAATGTTATAATTTGTAAAAAAAAAATGCAATGGGGTTTGTTACAAAAGAAATTATTTGAAAACATGTCTATTTCCAATCGATTTTCCATATGAAATTGGAGCAAATTGCCCCTGGGAAAAATCCATCCTTCATAAGCTGTCAAATACAGGGAGGAAAGGACATTTGAAAGTAACTAACCCTGAGGCTTATTAACCAGCACAAGCCATGTTGGAACCTCCAGTTTCTTCCTTTACGGCTTAAAGTCCTTTTGAATGTTCCCCTTGGTCCTGAAAACAGAGCCAGCAGCCACAGCTGTGGTCCATGAACACTTGGAGTTCATCACACAGTATCTTCAGGTCTTCCTGAAGAAGGCCAGGCATTATTGTCACCTTTGCTTTGCTCCTGATGATGGTCTTATTATGTAACTCTAGAGCCTGGAGTCTTGGCTCCAGCATTTCTGGCTCTGACCTTGTGGGATATGATTCAAGCCAGCCTCAGAATACGTCTGAAAGTCCCTTGACTTTAGGATTCAAAATGCACAAAGCGAGGGTTGCCTACATTGCTAATTCCCCAAATTTGACTATCTGTATTGAAAACATTTTAAGCCACATATTGTGCATAGATAGGATGAGAGGCCTCCACACTGGACTCACATCAAACCAGACTGAAAAGCAGACAATATAATAGATACAAAATATCCACAAGTCAAGCCATCAACAAGAGCTAATGAAGAGTCCACTGATAGGTTTGATCTCAGACCATAAAATCGAATGGCCTGCTATCTTTTGACAATTTCTGAGGCTACTCCTATAGTGAGAAACAAAAGTCCAGGATGGACTATTGAAGCATCTTTGGGAATTGCCCCCTTCCCAGCAGACATCTCTGCCTTGATTTTATCTCCTTCATCACCACCTAATTTCTAGAAGCTGGAAAAGGACAGTAGGCATAGTCTTTGCAGGCGAGTTTATGTATTTGGCCATTGTCTAGAACTTCACCCCAGGAGAAGCTAAGACATGGAACATACATTGTGGGTGCATTTCATGTTTTTTACTGAGGAATCAGTAGTTATCTCCCCCCATCTTCTTGCTCTTCATTTCTTTGGAACATATAAAAGTGTTTTCCTTTTTGCTGGCAGTCCTACAACATGATATTCCCGGTCTCCTCTTTATCAATGTTTGAAAACCTGTCTCTTTTTTAAAGAAAATCCTAAATGACCATCACCTTTGGATTCTTTTTCACTGTCATCAATGTCATCATGGCTGCACCTAACATTCTAACACTAATGACAGTTCCAAGTTTATTATGAATATTGACTGCTATAGTTCACAAATCGCCTCAAGATTTAACTCTATATGTGAGGTTCATAACAGCCCTGATAAAAAGGCAGAGAGAGGATTAAGACTTTCATTTTATAAATCAGAAACTTAATATTCAAGAAGGCAGTAGCTAACAAACACCTTGTATACTAACATGATAATGACATCAAGACTGAATATCAAAACTTTCCATTTTAGGGACTCTGCCCTTACTTGAATTCTGTTTATTTGGGAATTTCTCCATTTGCCTTATTGATTACTAATGGTGCTGATATTTCAGGGCAGTAAAAACCCTGAGGCCACGTCCAAAGCTGACCTGAAGAGCCCCATTCTCAGCTGAAAGCCACCTCACTGATGAGACACTGCTCCCTGGAGGAGACTAACATCTTCTGTATGTTTACATTGGCAGGTCAAGACAGCTGGGTGATTACAACTGACAATAGAGGGCTGCTCAGCAACTGATGATTTTCATTTTAAAATCTTGGCCTTAGTTTCAAAAGCTAATTTTAAATAGCTATCTGATATGTAACTGTAAAAGAAAGCATTTTAGCTCATAAAAATATGTTTTTAACATGGATATTAACTAGTCTCATTTTAATAACATGGATATTAAGCAGTTTTCATTTAACCAGACAAAGGGGCAAAACCCAAGCACATTTAGATATTACCGTTCAAACTGAGTTCTTCTGCAGAAATAAGCAAATTCCTTAGTATATCCATCATGGATTGCCTTCACTGTAAAACTGACCTTGTTATACACATTATATAATAGGAATGGTGTTTTAAGAGTAGCCTGTACTGAGTACCTACTGCAGAAGACCTGGGTTCTATTCCTAGGACCCACATCAGAGCTCACAACTATCTATAATTCCAATTGCAAGATAAGATATTCAACTTCCATTTCTAGATTCCATCTGAATACACATTGCACACATACATGCTTGCAATCGAACTCATACACATGAAATAAACAATCACTAAACTCTCTAGCATCTCAGATACCATATACATACCTTTAGATCTGGCTTTCTTATGGCTCTGTTTATTATATATTCCTCATCTGTAATGACAGGGTGGTCAGGAGTGAGACCAGACGTTCTGCTCAATGCTGGCAAGGAGATCCACATTACCTTTTTCCAAGAATAAACTTTGAATTCATCCTGGGGAATAAACATCAAAACCCCCAGGGTGTTAAGAGAAGTCATCAGACTAAAATTCATCCTTAAATACATCATTTCATATATTGTTGTGTTATGAAGCTAATGGACATTCTATTGAAATGGGACATACGATGCCTCAGGATCTTGAGAGACAAAGACTTAGGTCATTTATTAAGTAATCTGAACTGAAATGTGAGACACTAACACAAAGACCAAAGCCAAAAAGGAAGAGGCACATTCTCAGATAAGAGAGAAAGATTTCTCCATGACCTTTCAGTTCAGCTGGCAACGTCACAGTGAAGAAAATAAATCCCATGTGTTTCAAGGGACTGTATGTCCCTGTGAGCAGGAGGAAATCTAATGAATGGAACCATTCCTGTGTTTCCAGACTTAATTCAAAGTTCACTTTCCCTCAGTCTCACTGACACACTTCCTTCAAGAGAAAACCAAATAAAACAATGTCTAAACTATCATCACAGTGACTTTGGAAGGTTCTCCATTCTCATAGTTCTCCAAGTCAGCTTGAAGTAAGAAACAAGGTTTACTGATTGTAAGCTGGCCCTTGGTGTGGCATTCTGGGACCTGCTCAATGAAAAGCTGAAGACACTGGCTGCATGCATCAAGTGTGCACAGAGGTAACGGATCATATGAAGATATTAAGCAAGGTGGGATTGAAGAAGTGCTCTTACAGCAGGAGCCCCCCAAGTAAAATTATTTCCATTTGCAGTTGACTGATGTATTCATCATAGAATGAATCTAGAAGTACAAGCTTGGTGAACACCTATCACATAGCTCCTTTGGAGACTGGTGTGATTCTGAGAGCCACTGCTATCTGAAAGATAAATACCCACTTGATGTCGGATAGGGCTGTCTAACCCAGAAAGCTAGTGACTGGGAATGTAGATCAGAGATGAGGTACATCCTCACCACACATGAACTTGCCTTGAAAATACCTCAGTTCATTGAATTGTGCAAGGGGTAGCAAGAAGCAGCAGTAGTTGTAGCTGGGTTTGGTCTATTTGTTATCCCAAAGAGAAAACTCCTCTTTCCTGCTATTCCCTGGGTCAGGAATCTCCCTATCTCTTCTCCTTCGTAATCACATACCTTCACCATCAATCTCAAAGATCCACATCTTGGTAACCACCCTGATTTCTCTGAGTGAGCTTTCCTCTAGATTATCAGAGTACTCAAGATACTTGCTACCTTCTATCCTTGGTGGACTACCTTACCAACGTGAAGAAGTGTATTAAAGGGTGGCAGCATTAGGAAGACTGAGAACCACTGGTTTAGAAGGTCTGAACTTTTGATACCTCAGTCTCGTTAAACAGGTATACATTTTTGCAACAAAAGAATTAACCTGATTAATCCTTCAACCTCAAAGAGCTGATTTTCAAACCACTGAAGGATGACTTCCACAAATTGAAAGTACAGAGAGGACCTATACTTGACCTAGGCAAACAGAAGGAACAGCACCCCCCCCATAAGCTTGTCCTTTTGAACCCGGAAATACCAGTTTAACTTTGATAGGTAAATGAGGTAGAGTTATTGCTTATCATGCTCCAAACTTTCCCGAAAACCACTTCAACTCTTGGAGGTTAAAGCAGTATAATAGCTCTTCAATTTGACCAGTCTTATGACTTCTGTGACATAAGAGTTTGGTCCCCACACAGAAAATGTACATTGGAGCTTGCCTTAAGAATGAAAGTAATCCATTCCGAAGGTCCAAAAAGACTTTACAAACTGAGGACATTTCTCTTAGAGGTGAGTTCAGTATGGTGCTAAAATAGACTCAGCTCATCTTCCCAACCATACTAAGCTCAAAAAGTTGGCATTAGCTGGAATTTTGGCTTTAGTTACAATGTGTGTAGAGAATGCCCTGTGGATTGGAGAAATCATAGACTAGCCAGCATCTCAGTTCTGCTGGGACATAGTGACCAAAAAGGAGGAGGAGACAAAAAGCAACTAAGTTATATGACAAAGGTATGTATGAAAGGAAGGGGGCAGGAGGAGGAGGGGGAGAAAGAACAGAGCAGAAGAAGGAAGAGGCAGGGAAGGCAAGGAAGGGGAGGGAGGGGGGAAGAAGAAAAGGAGGATGGGAGAAAGGGAAGGAAGAGGAAACAGAGGACCAGGGAAAGAAAACCCAGAACAACCCAACGTATCTTTGGGGTTTTGACTGGGAGTTTTGGCTTGTTTGTTGTTTTCTGGGTGAACAACAAGTTGTGGGTAAGCTAATTAATCCTCTGCAATCTCTAGAGCTTCAGGCACTAAGAGTTAGCCCCAGTAAGCATTCTTGCTGCCAGCAGGCTCCTTCCTAGCATCTCATGGGTACTAACTTGTTTAGTCTACACAAGGAGGGAGAAACTGTCGAGGCCTCACTCTGCTGCAAAGGCAGTGGAGAAAGGATTAAGAACCTTCATGTTGTGTTGTGTAATAAATCACACACACACACACACACACACACACACGCACGCACGCACGCACGCATGCGCACACACACACGTTAAAACCCTAGTTTCCTAGGGCCCGGAGGAGGTGCTAAGGTTAGCTGAAGTCACAGGTGACATGCTACTCCAGTAGGCACATGTGGTAAGGGAAAGAAGCCAAAAGTGTGAGTAAACAGAAAAGGCTAGATGAGGAGATGAGGAGGTGACTAACTGCAAGCCAGGAAAAACAATAGCCTCATCAGAAAAAAAGTCTGGCTGGTGGTCCTGCATTCCAAAGACACAGCCTCAAAGCTGTTTGCCAATATTTGGTCATTCCTCAGAGGACAGCTCTACTTCAGGCTAGATGTCTAGAGAAGTGGAGACTGGAATATGCACCCAAGGGAACCAAGATGACATACCATTCTGCCTTCTTACATAGCATTTCACTTTAGTATCTAGAATCAAAATACTAATGGGAACCGTAAGTCTATTTATTATTGACACAATTGCACTTATTTAATTTAATAAAATAAGTTATGGGGCACCTGCTGTGGCCATATGGCATGGATACTATAAAAGATGAAAAGTAAGCCACCATCTTCGTAAGGCTGATAAGCCAGCAAAAGACACAATGAGAGCACAGCATTGTCAGAGAGATGAAAGAAAGACCTAAGGCTCGGAGAATCAGAAGGCTCAGTTCAAGCTCTTTGCCCACATGGGCTCCTCCATGTACCACTCCCCATGTACCTGTCCCTATCAGCCACTATCACTTTTTGATTCATATTTTTAGATAAACTCCAAGCATCATGTCTTTATTTGTCAATACGTACTCCTGCCCACCCTGCCGCCAGCTGAATGCCTGCCCATGAGCTCGACCTGTGGCCCACAACAACTGATGCTCACAGAGTTTATGCAGGAGAGAAGATTGGAAGGAGGGGCTCCTGTTGCCTCATCTCTGAAATGCAGGTGATGACAACTGCTTTCCAGTGTTGTTATGACAATTAGAATAACCACAGTGGAATTCTATGGAAGCTGAAAAGCAAATAGTATATTAATACAAAGCAGATTCCATACCAGCATGCCAGTCAGAAATGAAAAGAGAGAAGGAAGATCGATAGTAATTGCCTCCAGAACTGGAGAGGAAAATGAATTAACAAAGACAATAAAGACATACAGGAGAAGGGAGTACAGTGTTGGAGAATGAGGAAATTTCAACAAATGAGATGGAACACCCACTTTCTATGCTCCACACAGGGGACAGGGATTCCCACTAGAATCTCTATAGTCAAGGCAGGATTTCCATCTGTCTGGTTACAGCCTAGCTCTGACACCTGGTTGGTGCTTGGTAAATACTTACTGAATGACCAACAAATGCATGAGTGCTTCTCAGAGGGTGAGAGTGGAGAGAAAACCAAGTGTTGTGCAGTTGTGGAAAGTATGGATTCTGAGAGGCCAGCTCACAAAGGAGGGAGGGAGGAAGATGAAGGACCAATAAGCAAAAACAGTACTACTTAAAGACAGTACAACTTAAAGACACCCCTGCTGGACCTGTAGGCTTCAGGGTGGCATTTGCATGGTGACTTTATGGAGTTTTTTATTGTCTGTAAAACCCTTAGCTTTGACACCTTTCGTTGAAACATCAAAATGAAGTGCTTTGATTTAAGCCTCATATCTAAGCCCCATGAAGCTGTCCTCTGCAGATCAGGGGCCTTTGACGATAGGTGACACACAATGACAATGAAGGGGAAAGTGTGTCTGTAATTATAACAATGACATGGAAATCACCAGGAGCATTTAATTCACTGCACCGATGAATGTAAATCATGTTATTTGCATAGAAATGAAGCAACACTACAGAAATGGGTTAAAATTCGCAAGTAGATAAATGATGAATCAGATACATTTTAAAATTTATGAAATAAGATTGTAATTACACTCATCTTTGAGAGGGAAAAGATAAAAATCTCATGCTTAGTATTGCTGAATAAGAAAAAGAGCTGAAAATAAGCTGAATACAGAGGGTTTCCAGCAGACGCATCATGGCTTCTTATGTAGAGAAATGTCTAGTTAATCAGGATCTGTGATAATAAATTATAATCTTACTGGCTTGAGCTTGATGATAAATATCAAGCACAGATTTTTTTTTAATAAGATAAAGAACAGATACACAATGCATTTTCGGGTGGGAGTCACTCTGTCCTCCTAATGGAAACTTGTTAGAGGCTAACTATTGCGATATAATTCAAACAAAATCTTTTAAGTTGTCGTTTTCATGCAATAACCTAGCAGTAGACTTTTAAACTATTGATGCTGAAAGCATATTTTTCTCTAAGTCTCAGATAGTTAGAATGTTGGAAATAATTGAGTTCTTGTCTAATTACATAAAGACCAATTTAGAAGCTCATTTATTTGGAGAGTCTCTGGCATAGCAAATCCATTTAAAATGACACAGAAGAGCAGGTAATTAAAAATTAAAGTTGAAATCAAGATGGAAAAGGCAAGATTGGAGGGAGTTCAGGCATCTCTGATTAGTTCTGGAGAAGCAGTGGGAGGGGCTTGATAGACTCTCATGATTGAAAGAAAGGAGCTCCATGGTGGGTGTAGCTTCCAGACCAACCAGTGAAACACTGACTCTTTCCAGTGTGAGTCCATTTGCAAACACGACTACAGAAAACCTGGAAGGGACCACCTGGCTAGGGAGGGATATGTCTATAGACTCCAATCCCAGAACATCTGCCCCTGCTCAGGCATGCTAGGCCTGCTGGGAGAGATGAATAAAACACAAAGTCCCAATGAGCAGGTGTGCCTTGACTATAGCAAGCTCTCTCAAACAGAAAGCTTTTGGAGGTTCAGGAACAATACACACACATGCACACACACTCACACATACATACATAAACACATATAAAAACACATGCACAGACATTCACACACAGACATACACACATATACAAATACACATATACACACATATACACATACACACATATGCACAGACATGCATGCATATACTCATACATACACCACACACATACACAAATATACACTTGTACACACAAGCATATGCACATACATGCACATGCACACACATATATATATATATACAAACATACATATATACACATAACATGTAGACACATATGCACAGACATACACACATGTACACACAAGCATATACCTATACACTCACATACACATACACACATGTACACACACACACACACACACACACACACCACTGGCTTTGATAATCTATTCCACAGTTTGTAAATGGTTTCCACGAACATAACCAATCACCACACATATCAGCTCAAGAAAGACTAAAGACTTGATTAGTCAATAGTCCCACTTTACAAATAGGATAATCAAGGTTCTGTAAACCTGGTAACAAATTTAAGGTACTAGGACTACAAGTCTGGCTTCTGACAGGAAATCGGTCCCATCTGCCCATGTGCTGGAACCTCTTAATATTTACTTCTCAGTGTTCTTCCTCCTTGCTGCTTCTTTTCACCTGCCCCCCCCAGCCCATTTCCTTCACTTTCCTATTCTCTTTTTCCATTTCCTTGCCCATTTCCTCTTATTTCCATTTATGCCCTGGGTCTGTGAGAAGCATGGGGTGGAGGGTGGCATGGGTGATATATTTTGCTATGTTAAGGTTAAAACCCTTCTTTTTATTTAGACAGAAAAGAGATGATGGGAGATGCCATTATGTATATATGTTTCTCATACTGGTTAATGAATGAAGCACTGTTGGCCAATTGGAAAGGAAGATAGGAGGGACTAGGAGACAAGGAGGAATAGGAAGTAGTAAGGAGGAGTCAAGATGGAAAGGCTGGAGAAGGTAGAACTGCCAGCCACCTCTCGCTGGTAAGACCACGTGGATATACATAGAAATGGGTTAATAATTAAGACAGAGCTAGCCGATAAGAAACTAGTAACTGGCCAACAGGATTATATCATATACAGAGTCTCTGTATGTTAATTGGGGCTGGCGCAGTGGCGGGACCAGACCAGGCGGTTGGTGGAAAAACCTTACTCCTTACAGGCTGGCCCCCCAAGAGTCCTCAGAGCTGTATTCTCTGGAAGGCAGAGGGCTCTTCCACTCGCTTCTACTGCAGCAAGAATGTTGCTGTCTGGGAGCCAGATTAGTTCAATGTAGAGTTAAATTCCTTTCATGCTACAGAATCAAGCTGTGTGGGTTTTTAGTTCACATGGAATAATGTCCTAATAAAAGGATCCTGAGCTGGGTATGCAACACGGTGGTAGAATATTGACTGACCACATGCAAGGCTATGTGGGCTTATCCTCACCACCACAAAAAGGAAACTCCGAGACTCCTAACAGTGGGAGTGGGGGTGTGTCTGACTCTTTCACCTGCTCCTGGGACCCTTTTCTGCCTGCTGGGTTGCCACACTCAGCCTTGATGTGAGGGTTTGTGTCCAGCATTATTGTAACTTGTTATGCCATGTTTGGTTGATATCCCTGCTCTTTCTTAAGATAAACAGAATGGAACAAGGATGGGGGAGGAGAGGAAAAGGGGGGCTGGGAGGAGTAAAGGGAGAGGAAAATGCATTTGGGGTGTATTGTATGAGAGAATACATTTTTTCAAAGGAACCCCAAATGATAGCCTTTCATAAGTACACATCCTCCATACGCCCCACCCCCAAACAGTGGCCCAGAAAATAGAGCTGCTTCCGTAAGACACTCAGACTGTGTGTATGTATAGGAAGTCCACTTTTAACAACTGGTTAAATCTGATATTTTTTTTCCTCTCCATGCTGTATAAATGTCTATGGCTGAGTCACAGATCAAATATCCTGATCTCTGTTCCTCTCCCACTGAACAAGTGAAGGCATAGATAGGAGTTCTGAAAATGGCAATCTTTTCTCACATTACCTGAGAGCTTGTCAAAGACACAAATTCTTGGGCCCCGACCCGAATCCATTAGATTGGCAACTCTGAGTGGTTGAGAGTTGGAAGTTGCAGTCTGTTTTCACAGGCCTTCTAGGTCATTCTGATGCCAGGTGAGTGATATACTTGCAGTGTAGTGGGAACATCAGCAGATGAGGGCCTGGGACAGAGGACTTCATGCTGTCTCCCTTTCTGAGTTTAGTACATTCCATCATGTCCCTGGGGCTCCAGTTTCTAATCCATCAAATGCCCAATGCTAAGGGACTGGCACTTTTCTCCCCTGAACCTTCTACAAGTCTTCATGAAGCCAACCTTGAAGGAAAGCTCCAGATTAATGCCAATTGGTCATTTTTACTAAACAACAGCTTCTGGATCTCTCCAAGTCCAGAAGTTTATTCTTCAAAAATACCTAGTTAAATTATAGCTGGACTTGTAAGCTGGTCCCAAGCTACCACCCATACAATGATTCAGGTATCGTGTAGTGATTTGAAGAGACCAGGATTCAGTTAAAGGATGGAGCTAATTCCCATTGCGCAAGCCAACAAACACAAACCTGGTTGGACTCCCAGGTTGAAGAAAGGTTATCTCAAGCTGAGTTAGACAGCAGGCTTCCATGTAGCATGCTTGGGTGTTTTTGTTTTGTTTTGTCTGTCTCATTAGAAGGCAGTGAGTTGTTTCACTCTGATTGACTGGCTATCAACTGTGCCACTATTCTCCTCTCTTGCCGCATAGATAAAATATTGTATCTAGAAAGACTGGCACAAATAAAAATGTGGTATACTCCCAAAAGAGCAGTGGTTCTCAATGTGTGGGTCACATATCAGATATCTTGAATATCAGATAAATTAATAACAATAGCAAAATTACAGTGATGAAGTAACAATGAAAATAATTTTATGATTAGGGGAGTCAGCATAACGTAAGGAACCGTGTTAAAGGGTCACAGCATTAGGAAGATTGAGAACCACTGCAATAGAAGTTGATTTATCAAAACTAGTTGTTGCCACAGGTCATTTGTGCCAATGCCTTGTTAAAATAACAGGGTAGATTAGTCAGGAAAGAATCCTTTAAGAGACTGTCACTTCATTCCCTCCGTAACAGTACCATGCCTGCCTGTCAGTCACCCCATACAGATGCTGGAACTGAAAATGTATCAGTTAACACATAATAAAGCCCCTCCCATGGTAGAGCTAGCTTTCCTGTGGAGATGATGTGTGTGGTCTCAATGTCATGAGTGCTACAAGGACATGACATCAAGGTATGCAGAAAGAGCCTCACATGATAGTGACAAAATGGCTGCATTTTTTGCCCTGGTATTTCTGAAGAACAGGGCACAAGCATATCAAAAACTATGACTCTCTCCTATCAGTCCAGTGAGACAGACAGCATCTTCCACAGTGGGATGCTCTTCATCTCACAAACTCCCTTATTCCTTTTCTTTTTTAAAAATATATATTTATTACTTTTTATTATTTTACATAATGATCCCAGTTCACTCTCCCCCCTTCCCTCCCATGCTCTCCAAGCCCCCCTCCTGCCCCATTCCCCACCCACTCCACAGGGAGGGTGATGCCTTCTGTCAAATCTTTTGGAGTAGGGTCTAGCCACGCCCCACCCCACTCCTGTCTCTAGGCTAAGGGAATATCCCTCCATAGGGAATGTGCTCTCAACGTCCTTTCATGTCTTGTCTCTTTTCCTGAATCATTATTGTGGAGGCCATAAGTCAGGCTTGAAGTCAAGGGGCAGTAGGAATTTGGAGTTAATGGCTTGTAGCCTTGACTTAACCACTCTACACTACCCAGTATTTCAGAAATCAACATGACCGTATTATCTCTAACATTTGCTAAAGTTGCAATTTTAAAGGCACTCCTCTGTGAAGTAACTCTTCTTAAGAAATCCCATTAGAGCCAGACATTTGTGGCACATGTCTTTAATCCCAGCACTTGGGAAGAGAGATAGGCAGATCTCTGTGAGTTTAAGTCCAGCTTGGTCTACAGAGTGAGTTCCAGGACAGCCAGGACTATTTCACAGAGAAACCATGCCTCAGAAAACCCAAAATAAATAAATAAATAAGGAAGGAAGGAAAAAAAATAAGAAAGGAAGGAAGAAAAGAAGAAAGGGAGGGGGAGGGAGGGAGAGAGGGAGGGAGGGAGGAAGGAAGGAAGGAAGGAAGGAAGGAAAGAAGGGAGACAAATTTCTTGGTTCTGGGTAGGTGCACAGTGATGGAGCCTACCCATGTGCCACCTGCCTTGGGGACAGCTCCCCCAGACAACTTACAGCCCAATATCTAGGAAAAGGGACAAAATCCACACAAAAAAAAAAAAGATGTATGTACACTCACAGTTGTCTTCAGCAGCACAACATCTGCTTCTTGCAGGGAACAAGGGACACAGTTTGCCCATACATGCCAAGCTGGTCTCCAGTAAAACACCAACGGGAGGATTCCGAGAGAGAAGATGGATCCAATGATACAGAGCGTTTTCCGACAACCTTGAGTCCTATAGCCAAAGATTTCCTGAAATAGAACAAAAATTATTCCAAGTGTTGATCAGTAAAGATAATGGACAAACACCACCTTTGGGTATGAAATGGAGGCGGGAAGTGAATGGTCTAGCAAGGGAAGGCAGGCATGGGAGGGGGTAGAGGGTACAAAGAATGAATCCGGGTTCCTGACTAAGAAGTTCAGACATGATTCTTGACCTCCAAGAAGGAACCCTTTAGCCATAAAAGGCAATGTCTACAGCCTAAACACAGAGTTACCCTGGACCAATCATTATCCTGGGTGAAAGCACAACTGGAGTGGGGCTCTTTGTTTTCAGAAATCAGTGTTGTCATTTGCTAGACATGTGAATTTTAGTAAGCTATGTGATCCCTTTGTTGCCCACACAAAAAAAAAAAAAAAAAAAAAAAAAATGGGACAGTGATAGCACAAAGTTGCTGTAGGGTGTAAATAACTGAAAATATTTAAGTCTACATCAGAATCTCTCCTGCTGCTGTTACCCTGATTATGCTGATGGTGATGATGGTGGTGGTAGTGATGATGGCGATGGCAATTGTGCTGATGATGTTGCTGTTCCTGCTAACATTACAATGACTTGGTCCCATAGCCCCAACACAGACATGAAAACCTAGGCCCTGGTTAACACAGTTAGATCAAAGATCCTAGTGTTAACCACTGTGCTTTTGATGGACTTAAAGTAACAATTGCACTGAACATCAAACTTGGCATCACCAACTTCTTTATCTTATGAAATGAATACTACATCAACAGAGAAAGGTCTTGTCTGAAAGGTACTCCAGTGTGTAATTACTAGATCCTTTCCTACCACACTAGTGCAGTCATATGGGAGGTGAAGGACAACTTGTTACATTACCTAATTCAGTATGATTTTCTGAAATGCTCTTAACCCATTTTACAAGGCAGACATGTAACCTGACAGGACACATCTCTGCTCAAGCTCAAGCTACTGCTTTCCAACTGCCAAGATTGGGCTAGCTCCATTCCACATTCAACCTGCTGCCTATTATTGATCCCATTCTAACCAGTATGCCTCCCCCAAATTCTTCCCATGTCCTCTTCTGTCCTATAGTTTTGCACAGATCAGCTTCTACTCCCCAGTCTCATTACCCTATTACTTTCTTTTTGTTTTCTAAGCTCCATCCCTTCCCACTCATTGGATCCTTCCATGAAGATTATTCCTTGTCATGCAGAAGCACAAACATCATCCTTATTTATGTTTTATTTCAGAGGGTTCACGTGTTTATTTTTCTTTTATATATTTACTTATTTGATTATTTACATATTGATCCCAGTTCCCTTTCCCTTCCTCCCTCTCTCCCTCACCCATGCCCCCCCCCGACCACCCTCCCATCCCATCCCCCACTCCACAGGGAGGGTGGTACCTTCCAAGAGGGGTCAACAAAATCCGTCAAGTTATTTGGATTATGGACTAGGCCTCCCTCCTGCCTCTAGGTTAAGGGAGTATCCCTCTATGGGGAGTGTGCTCTTTCTAAAGTCCTTTCTAAAAGTAGTATTTAAATGTTTTCTTCTATTGGCAGTGGAGCGCCATGTAATTTGTATGAGTTACTCTGTGCCAACGTGAAAACGTCTCTGTTAGTATTTGAAAGTGTCATTGTGTTCATCGTCAAGAGAGACTAAGCAGAAATTATCATCTTTCTTCTCTGGTTAAAAAAGTTCAAGTTCAAAGTTATCATATATAAAAAGCTTTTACCAGTAACTAATAATTATCAAGATAACAGTGCTACAGCTAATTAAAGTCTCTCCCTAAGCACTTTACAAGTACCCTCTCCATAGTTGAAAAAAGTCACATATCTTTCCCAAGACACAAAGCTCATGCATAACTCAAAACTGGCTTTGCAGCACACAGAAAGCAGGATGGAGGTGGACTGCTCTTTCTAATTGGTCCCTTCTTTCTCTAGCCTTAATTTCAGTTTAATTTAATTTAACAAGTTTTTGAAGTGTTATTCAAATAGCTGGCATGTGCCAGACTATGACAGATGTAAAACAATGTTTCTAGCCTATAGAAACTCACTAGATTAGAGGGGGAAAGAAATGGAATTGTAAGGCTAAGTAAAGAATGATGGAGAGAGATACAGAAGGTGGCCAAATCCCTTATCATCTAAATGTGGTCATAGGCCCTGTCATTACTACTGTTACTAGCCCCAGAAAAAGAGGAGTACACAGTGTCACTGGCAAGCCAACCCCATCTGAACCCCTTAGGCTACCCTGTAGTTCCTTATTCTTGGGCAGGTGAACACTGCCCACTTCCTTTAGTGGCTCGTGGTCTGTGGTATGTTGTTAAATTTTATGTAGGAAGGGTCAAAGTATTTGCACAAGGCATGTTCAGTTGTTGCTTGTTGAAGTAAGCTAATATCACAGATTTGAAGGGAATTATATGACCAGGTATGGGGGGGGGGTATAAGTTGCAAAAGTTGGAACTGTGCCATCATCATCTGGTGCTGATTTGCTTCTTATGTTACGGAGTGCTTGCCATGTCTCTGAATATGCTTGAAGCAGTTATGCTGCCTCCCTTCCCATTCCCCAACTGCTGTCATCTCCCACAAAAAGAGCTTGATGAGCCCAAAATTGACATTAGAAAAATGTCCAAATAATATTATACAGTTCATGGCAGGCTACATGCACCACAGAGTAGTACTGTATTGCTCTTTTTATCCTCCCATCCATGCATTCTTCCTCACATAAACACACACACACACACACACACACACACACACACACACGTCTCACAGAGGCATTTCAAGGCCCTCTTCTAGAAGATTCATGAGGCCGACTCAAGCTAATCTTTCGGAGTTCACTCTCAGAAACCTAGCGGAGGGCCTCACACAGTCAAGGACTTGTAAATGCAGAATTGGGATGAAACCGAAACATGGAGGAGCAACTGATAGTGACATCTAGAAAAGGACAGTGGCTATCTCAGAAGAACCTTCCTCATGTGACATCATCATGTAATGTCCCAACCGTCCTCAGGGTAGCTCTCAGCCTTTGAATCCTGGGATCTCTCAGCACAATGACCCTTCCTAGGAGGACTCAAGATCAGCAGATGTCAGAAGCTGAGCATACCAAAAGAGAGAAGTGAATGTCACTATCATGCCAATCAGCTAAACACACGTGTTAACACCGAGAAGATGTTGCTTTCCAATAGCACCATTTCCACAGTCAGAATTTTTCTGTCTGTGGAGTCCAATGTAATCATTGTTCTTAAAAATGGGCTCCAGAACCTGGAAGCAACTTAAATGCTTCTCAGCTGAAGAATGGATGCAGAAAATGTGCTACATTTGCACAATGGAGTACTACTCAGCAGAAAAAAAACAATGAATCTTGAAATTCACAGGTAAATGGATGGAACTAGAACTGAGTGCGGTAACCCAGTCACAAAAAGACAAACACGAGCCTTCATCTACTAGCTGATGGAAACAGAAGATGACACCCGTAGCTAAACATTGAGCCGAACTCTTGGAATCCAGTTGCAGACAGGGAAGAGAGATGAGCAAAGGGGTCAAGACTAGTCTATAGAAACCCACAGAAACTGCTGATCTGAACAAGGGGGAGCTCATGGACTCCATTCTGATAGCTGTGAAACAAGCATAGGACTGACCCCAAACTCCCTGAATGTGGTGTTCGTTGGGAGGACTGAGCAGTCTATGGGGCCTCTGGCAAAGGATCAGTATTTATCATAGTATACAAATGGATTTTGAGAGTCCATTCCACATAGAAGGATACTCCCTCAGCCTGGACACATAGGGGAGGGCCTGATCCCTGCTCCAGATAATATGACAGACTTTGAAGACTCTGCATGGAAGGTCTCACCCTCCCTGGGGAGCAGAAAGGGATGGGATAGTGATTGGTGGGGGGAACAGGGGAGGATGGGAGGGTTAGAAACTGGGATTGACATGTAAAACAAGCTTTTTTCCAATTTAAATAAAAAAAAACACACACAATCAACAAACAAAAATATAGGCTCTGGAATCTTTCTACAACCATCCCTCAGCCTGATTATTATGCATTTCCTTTAAACACATCAATTCATCCAATCATACTACAGTCAAATCATGCTAGCCTAGACACCTTTTCATCTCTCTGCAGACTTCATTAAACATTTGAAAGCTTGAAAAAATCAAATTTTTAAGACTTTACCTCCCTAAAGATAATTTCTTTTCCCTTATCTCCAAATATTGAGTGTGAAAAGAATGCTTCACTGTAATTTGAACGTATTATGGCAGACCATGTTAAATATATGTGATTTTCTGTTTGCTTCCCTCTAGGACTTACAAAAATTCTGTCCTGGTAATTTCTCATTTGCCATTCTTAGGCAAAGGAGAATTACATAGACTTCTAATTTAATTTGAAGTTCAGATTCAATTGAGAATCTCTCAATCAAAATAGCCTAACCTAGAAATTTGGAGGGTGTGGGGAAGCAAAGGGGTTTCTGTTACTGTTGTTGCTGCTGAATTGGTAAATAGTCTTCAAACTTTAAATTGGTCCCCCAGTTATTTTCACATATAAATTATTATTCAGACATCTTCTTTTGAAATTCACCCAAAATTGTGAAGATATTATCTCCAGATACTTACACTTTAAAACTCAGCTGGAGATCACCAAAAGACATGCACAAAATAACCCAAACTGTCTAATGAGTTGGGATGTTGTGTTGCAATCTGCCCACACTGTGGGATTTCAGCCACACATCAAGCATATAAACTTTTAGTAAGAAAACAGTAGAAAAAGCAGGTGCAAATGATTACAACGGCATTATAACTTTTTATAAATTTTAAAACAAATTCTATTTAAAGAGGATAATGAACTCACAGGCAAGACAATGAGTATTCTATTGGGTGAGGAAAATACAGTTCTTAAAGCAAACAGCTTGAATACTGTTCATTTTGCATGTTTGTAATCCCAGTACTCAAGAAGATAAGCAAGAGGATCATAAATTCAAGGCAAACTTTGGTGACAAAACACTATATAAGGTGGTG